CCTCCCAAGGGGACTTCGGTCTCTATTGAGGAGGAGATGGACATCGAGGGTGCGGGCTCGGCAGAGGAAGACGATGTCATTCATCTTTCTCCTGGGCCAAGAGGGTTCACAAGGGGAAGATGGCCCTGAGACTGCTGAAGCTGAGGCTCAGCATGTGCTTTCTGGGATGCGGGTCCTCCGGGCCAACATCTCCCGGATTCTCAGGGCGGAGGTTTGCCCACCGCCTCAGCATCGTCGGCGCCTGAATCCACCATCCTTCTGGGTTCCCTGGTGGCTCCTCGGGCTTCCGTTCGCTCAGATCGGTCTCTGCCAGAAGGCAATATCATGTCTTCGGTTCTGGCCACGGCCCGGGCTCCGGTTTTAGAGAAGGACTCCTTCTCTACCCGTGCTCTCGGGTTTGTCGGTCTGCAGCTCAGTGTTGGTGAATTGTCGGAGGCTTCAGCTTCCGACTATGCCACACATGATGGGCAGCTGGCCTCTCAACCAGCACAGCTGGAGTTGAGACAGCTGGCTGCCTGGCCCGGCAAATCAGTGGACCAGGTGGTGCTCGATCCCAAAGAGCACCACAGGATGGAGAGAATGTTGCACCTCTCCATCCAAGTTCTGTCATACATAGACTTCCTGACAGTTTGTCTATACAGGGTATCCGATTTGCCTGAGTGTCGGTTATCCGAGACAGAACAGCCGACATACAGGACACGGCAGCCTTGCAGGTTCTCTGCTCGTCAATGCCGTGTTGGCTAGGCAGTTTTCAGTTCTGAAATTCCGCCCAGTCCAGTAACCCTACCGTTTCCGCTTGTTGAATGCCCCCTTCTAGGGCTCTACCCTGTTCAGGGGAGCTCTTCCTTGGGTTCAGAAGGATATGAAGGAGGACTCGGTCGCCTCAGCACTTCTGGTGAAGAGGTTTCAGGCTGAGAAGGCCAGTGCCTCGCAGGGGTCAGTGCCTCCTAAGAAGAAGGCGAAGTCTTCGGCTGCTCAGTTTTCTGCACAGCCCAAGTCCCAACCTCACTTCAACGGCAACAAGGGGAAGGGTAGGAAGGGTAAGAAACCTCCTGGGGGCAAGAAGAAGGGTTCCTGACTATTTCTGCTTCTTGGCCGCGAAAGGCGAAGGGTATGGCCGGGTGGACGGTGGTTCTCCTTTCCCGGGCTCATGTCCTTCTCCTGCAGGCTCAGGCTCCGGGTGGGCAGACGATTCTCTGGTCTGGCAGGGGCTCGATCTGCCCCATCCGGAACTCCCTGTGGGCGGACGTCTCTCTGCTTTCCTTTCCTAGTGGCAGGATATTACAGAGGACGCTTGGGCTTTTGTCGGTGGTCAGGGAGGGTCTAGGTATTCCCCTTCTTCAGGATTCGTCCCTCGCCTCCTGGCCGTTTTTGTTTCTTTCCTCCTTCCGGGGATTCAGAAAGGGCACGGGTGCTCCAGGAGGAAGTAGGGACCATGCTGCCAAGGCAGAGATGCCCTTGGGGCTCACGACAGCTCCTTTGGTGTTCACCAAGTTGCTGCTGGTGTTTCCTTCACTCCTGCAGAATAGACGTCCACATCTATTTCGACGACTCCCTCATGCCTCTTTTGGTGTGGGAATCGTTAGTGAAGGACACTCGTCTGGTCCTGAAACTCTTGCTCAGAGTCGGCTTCATTCCTTCCAGAGAGAAGTCAGAGGTTCCTTCATATTAGGACTTCTTCTTCCTGGGGAACCATTTTGACATGGTTCGGGGCTTAGCCCTTCCACCTCTGGAGAAGTTTGAGAAGGTCAGGGCTCTGGCTCTGACTTTCATCACTTGGTCGCTTGTCCAGGTACATTGGTTCCTCAGTTTTCTGGGGTATCTCAACTCCTTGGCATATGTGGTCCCCCTAGGGAGGATTCACATCGGACCTCTCCAGATGTTCCTCCTGTCTGACTGGGTTCCGTCATCCAGGAGGCCTGGATCCCGCTTACCCAGTCGGTCAGGGAGTTCTCTTGCTGGTGGACCATTCAGGAGAACGTTTTCCACGGGGTACCTCTGACCAAGCCTATCCCCTCTATGATCCTGTTCATGGACGCGTTCATGACAGGAATGTGAGCTTACCTCGATGGGGGAGTGGTCTGGCGAATAACTCTCGGAGCACATCAGTGTACTCGAGATGAGACTGTTCATTTGGCTCTGCAGTCCTTTAGGGGTATCCTGCAGTCCAAAGTGTGGCTACCGACAACAGTTGTCGAGTATCTGGAGAGACAGGGGCCACCAGGTCTCATGTCCTGTGTGCCCTCTCCATCCACATCCATCTTCTCTGCCAGGACATGCAGTTGACCATAGCGGTCAAGCATCTTTATGGCAGGCTGAGTGTGTTGGTGGCCACTCTCCAGGCGCCACCAGCCGGTGTTGACGGAATGGCAGCTGTGTCCCTTGATTTTCAAGGGGAATTGTCAGGCGTGGGACAGACCTATTATAGACCTGTTTGCCACTTCCCTGAACAACCAGCTGCTAACCTTCGTCTCCCCGGTCCCAGACCGTAAGGCGTGGGCTGTGGACGCCCTTTCTCTGGAATAGGAAGGGACGTATGCATATGCATTCCCTCCCTTCAACCTGGTGGGCAGGGTTCTACAGAAGTTCTGGGAGCATCACTGCTCCTTACTTCTGAGAGCCCCTCTGTGGCCGAGGCAAGCTTGGTTTCAGGAGCTCTTGTCGTTTCTGGTGGAGGAGCCCTTGGCTCTCCCCACCAGACCGAATCTCCTTCGCCAGCCTTGGCCCAGAACGACACACTCTTGACCAGAGATCCTCCACCTTCACGCGCTGAGGCTATCTCTGGAAGCCACGCCAAGGCAGGCTTTTCTCAAGAGGTGTCAGATTGCATTGAGCAATCAATCAGGGCTTCCTCTTCTGCCGTCTACCAGTCACGTTGGATGATCTTCTGTGATTGGTGTGTCGGCAAGGAAGCTTATTCATTCGAAGCCTCTGCATTTGATTGCGGAATTCCTAATCTCTCTGTTTAGGTACCGCTATCTGCCACCTGGCACTATTGCTGGCTATCGTACAGCTATTGCCAGAGTTCTTGCTTGTTATGGCAGGAAGGAGATCGGTTAGTCCTCCTCTCTTTCTGCCCTAATCAGAGGCTTTGCTATGAATAGAGTTGTTTTTAGCGAAGAATCAGGTTCCGGGGTTCTCGCACGATCCCATCAGGATCCTGGCTGTGACTAGCTCGGAGGAGCGAGATAGGTTGCTTTGTCCTTGTCGGGCTCTTAGGTTTTATCTTGATAAAACCAGGGGGGGGCGGGGCTCTCGATCCCGTCTGTTTTGCCCATTAAACAGGGGCAACGAGATATCTCCTCCCAGTCGGTTTCCAGGTGGGTTTGCCAGGTGATTTAGTATGCTTACGAGCATTTTGATGATCTGGCTTGGGCGAGAGTGAAAGCGCGGTCTCACGAGGTCAGGGCCCTTGCTTCATCCTGGGCCCTTCTCTCAATGAGTCCTCCTTTCAGGAGGTCATGTCTGCAGTATTCTGGCAGGGCAGGGATACCTTAACAGATTTTTATCTGTGATCCCTAGCTTCCCACTCAGAAGGCCTGTATTCATTGGGACCTTTGGTGGTGGCATAGTCAGTGGCTGGGCCTCCTCGTTAGCCCCGGGCCATGTCTTTCCGTACGGCGGCATGTGGGTACACCTGCTCTTTCACAGAGAGGTCCCTTCCTTCACTTTAGCACTCTGTTCTCCCTCCCTACTACTTTGGTTGTGCTGAAGGGGCTGCCTGGCTTCTAGTCACCACTACGGTAAGACGAATTCGCATACTAAAGTTATGGTAATTATTACTGAAATGAAATTGAGGTTTTTTAATGTAAAACCAATTTTCATGATGTAATACTTACCATAACTTTATGGAGTCCCACCCTATCCTCCCCTCTTCCTTATCTGCCTGGCTGCCCCTCTGTGGGGTTTACGCCATAAAGGTTATTAGAGGAAGGGAGATCACTCTGCGTTCCTGCCGTGATGGCTCATGGATCGTAGGGAGGGCGGGATTGTTTTTCTTTTGAATCTTTTGTTGGGATACAAAGATGGGTGTAGGTACTGTATTTGCATACTAAAGTTATGGTAAGTATTACATCATGAAAATTGGTTTTACATTAAAAAACCTCAAATTTGAATGTATACAATAGTAACCTTATGCACAGGTCAACTATGCTAATACTTAAGATGACTGTTCAAGTTTCAAGCATGGGTGGGTCCTTCTGTCTTACAGAGCCTTATCCCTTCATTAATATTTATAACCTAATTTTTATGGATTTTTTTAAAAAGATTTTAAATGTGGATATATTTAAATTTCAGTTAGATTGCCCATCCTTACATAATGTACCATCTTACTTTACACTCATAGATAATTCATACCCTGCCATTTCATGGTTGAGAGCATACAATGCTACCCTTGACTCATTTACCGTTTTATAGATACAAATAAGGAACTGCAGTTTGGTAGATAGTTGTTTAATAATCATATGAAGGTTAAGATTTGATTATGTTGTGGTCAATTAGTTTTTCCCAGAGTTCCAGCCATTTAACTTCAAGAATTTGGATGAAAATTTTATAAAAAAAACTTTAAGACTAGTATTAGAGGTTTTGCCTAGCTCCAGTGTGAATTAAAAAAAAACATGTTGATAGAGCTTCAGTTTTGTTCAGATTCTATACCATGCATGCTGTAGGTAGGATTTATCACTATAACACTAAAAAGTTTCAAACTTCTTGATTGCCAGTAGGGACATTTGTGTCACTGTGACATATCTAGCTTGTAAACATTTTACCTCATTCATATGTTTTATGAAGATTTTTGATAATTAACAGAAGCATCATTTGAAATTGATAACCAAGTTAAAGTAGAAAGGAAATTTGGACACTCGGCAACTCATGACCTTCCTTTCCTGTATTAACTCAAATTGAAAGTTAAAATATTATTGCTCGGAGGTTTGATGTAGTTGTTTACAGAAAGGCTTTTAAGTATAATACTAGATATACATGTATATCTTTCTTCTTTTTAGAATCAACTTTGACTTTAGCTTCGATGATGCTATTGTGAAACAGTATGGCTGTGAGGTGCATGCCTATGATCCTAGGTAAGTTGTAGCAGTATGGCTGTGAGGTGCATGCCTATGATCCCAGGTAAGTTGTAACAGTATGGCTGTGAGGTGCATGCCTATGATCCCAGGTAAGTTGTAACAGTAAGGCTGTGAGGTGCATGCCTATAATCCCAGGTAAGTTGTAACAGTAAGGCTGTGAGGTGCCTGCCTATGATCCTAGGTAAGTTGTAACAGTATGGCTGTGAGGTGCATGCCTATGATCCTAGGTAAGTTGTAGCAGTAAGGCTGTGAGGTGCATGCCTATGATCCTAGGTAAGTTGTAACAGTATGGCTGTGATCTGCATGCCTACAATCACAGGTAAGTTGTAACAGTAAGGCTGTGAGGTGCATGCCTATAATCCCAGGTAAGTTGTAACAGTATGGCTGTGAGGTGCATGCCTAAGATCCCAGGTAAGTTGTAACAGTATGGCTGTGATGTGCATGCCTATGATCCTAGGTAAGTTGTAACAGTAAGGCTGTGAGGTGCATGCCTATGATCCCAGGTAAGTTGTAACAGTAAGGCTGTGAGGTGCATGCCTATGATCCTAGGTAAGTTGTAACAGTATGGCTGTGAGGTGCATGCCTATGATCCTGTGAGGTGCATGCCTTGTAACAGTATGGCTGTGAGGTGCATGCCTATGATCCCAGGTAAGTTGTAACAGTAAGGCTGTGAGGTGCATGCCTATGATCCTAGGTAAGTTGTAACAGTATGGCTGTGAGGTGCATGCCTATGATCCTAGGTAAGTTGTAACAGTATGGCTGTGAGGTGCATGCCTATGATCCCAGGTAAGTTGTAACAGTAAGGCTGTGAGGTGCATGCCTATGATCCTAGGTAAGTTGTAACAGTATGGCTGTGAGGTGCATGCCTATGATCCTAGGTAAGTTGTAGCAGTATGGCTGTGAGGTGCATGCCTATGATCCTAGGTAAGTTGTAACAGTATGGCTGTGAGGTGCATGCCTATGATCCTAGGTAAGTTGTAACAGTAAGGCTGTGAGGTGCATGCCTATAATCCCAGGTAAGTTGTAACAGTATGGCTGTGAGGTGCATGCCTATGATCCTAGGTAAGTTGTAACAGTAAGGCTGTGAGGTGCATGCCTATGATCCTAGGTAAGTTGTAACAGTATGGCTGTGAGGTGCATGCCTATAATCCTAGGTAAGTTGTAACAGTATGGCTGTGAGGTGCATGCCTAAGATCCCAGGTAAGTTGTAACAGTATGGCTGTGATCTGCATGCCTACAATCACAGGTAAGTTGTAACAGTATGGCTGTGAGGTGCATGCCTATGATCCCAGGTAAGTTGTAACAGTAAGGCTGTGAGGTGCCTGCCTATGATCCTAGGTAAGTTGTAGCAGTATAGCTGTGAGGTGCCTGCCTATGATCCTAGGTAAGTTGTAACAGTAAGGCTGTGAGGTGCATGCCTATGATCCTAGGTAAGTTATAACAGTATGGCTGTGAGGTGCATGCCTATGATCCTAGGTAAGTTGTAACAGTATGGCTGTGAGGTGCATGCCTATGATCCTAGGTAAGTTGTAACAGTAAGGCTGTGAGGTGCCTGCCTATGATCCTAGGTAAGTTGTAGCAGTATAGCTGTGATGTGCCTGCCTATGATCCTAGGTAAGTTGTAACAGTATGGGTGTGAGGTGCATGCCTATGATCCCAGGTAAGTTGTAACAGTAAGGCTGTGAGGTGCCTGCCTATGATCCTAGGTAAGTTGTAGCAGTATAGCTGTGATGTGCCTGCCTATGATCCTAGGTAAGTTGTAACAGTATGGGTGTGAGGTGCATGCCTATGATCCCAGGTAAGTTGTAACAGTATGGCTGTGAGGTGCATGCCTATGATCCTAGGTAAGTTGTAACAGTATGGCTGTGAGGTGCATGCCTATGATCCTAGGTAAGTTGTAACAGTATGTTAGTCTGAAAATTTTGTGGTTATTGTCAATATGAATAAAAAGAAAAAAAGACATTATTTCAGAATATCTTAATATTTACAGACCATAAATGATTTTGTAGCTGAATAAAAGTAGCTTTCATGTCAGGAAGAGCCTATCTGGATCATCTTTCAGGCACCTTGTTTTTTAGCGGCAATGGTTGAGACAACAGTCGTGGCTCATCGATACAAAATCAAACCACTGGAAATATCCTTAGATATTTTCTACACAAAAGTGATTGTTTTGGATTTTTGAGTTTATCATGTAATAAACAATACTGTGGTTATGTTTTAAAATGCACAGAAGGACTAGAAAAATACCCATTGCCTGACCGTATGATTTGTGATAGAAACATTTATGATATTTTTGCCCATTTCGAAAGGGTCTTGCTGAGAAACTTACATGCTTTGTACAGTGAATCTGTGCTGAATAAATACTTAGATGTTGTAATTTTTACAAAGTCAGTGTGAATTGCTGCATATTTCATTCACAAGGGTTGACAGATACTTTTTCCATGAAAGGTATCAATTGGGGTACGGTATCGATTTGGTTAGTGTCACGTTATATCTTTATAAACAACAATCCAGGTCAGTAATGTGTTATTAAAAACTATCTGTTATCTTTTAGTATGAACATGATGGACCATACCCATGGGAATAAGGTGTTCTTTCACAATATTGGCCTCACCAGTGATAATAGAACTATGACAGTCAAAGGTATTCCCTGGAGAATGGGCACATTTGGAGCCCACCGAACACACAATGGCCACGTACAGGTGAGTCATGGGACCAGGGCTCCGGCAACGTTTCATCTGGTGCATTGTGTAAAAGTTAGAAAGGACCAAGTGATTAAGTTGGTGTTATGGTTCTTAATGTGTATGTTTTCAAATAATCTTTTGGTAAAATAGTCTCTTTTCAGTTTCTTTTTGCCCCTAATATTTTAGTTCATGGTAAAAGTTGCTAATTTAAAAAAAAAATCGAAAATATTTTCAGGTAGCATTCATGTATTACAGACATATAGCATTGCCTATGTTCTATCCTGTCCTGACCCAAAACTAATTTCACTTTGCTGCGGGGGAATTGCAGCTTGTGTATATTCATTTAATAGAAATCGTACATGTGTACATTCATCATTATGCTGATATGACAAAAATTGATAATGCGCAGAATCATGATCCCACCAAGTTAGGTACATTTACATTATTTGATATAGAAATAGAAGTTTTCAATTCTGTTGAATAAATCTGACTTTTGATGTTTTCAGAGGCCCATTGACATCTTAAAAGTAGACATTGAGGATTGGGAGTGGGTTGCATTGCCAGAAATGCTATATTCCGGAATGCTTCGGGATGTGCAACAGTTTGTTGTAGAACTTCATTTAACCAGGGTCAAAGCTGAACCAAGTATTACTCAGTATCTCAAGTGCTTGAAAATACTCAAAGATATTTATGATGAAGGATTTAGAATATTCTGGACCCATCGAAATTTATGGTGCAAATTTTACTCATCTTTTGGTCGTGAGGAAAGATGTGGTTGTCATGAGGTTTCTTTTGTGAGAGTTAAATAATCTGAACATTTTAGTAACTAATTATATGATATGTGAATGATATTGTGAGTTATGTATAAATTAAGGATTAAATGTAATTCATGTGGTATTTGTTTTTTTTTTTTCATCTTAAATCAATCTTGAATTCAAAGATCATGTGAAATTTTAACTTTTGTAATGCTGACATATACATGATGAGTGAAATGTTAATCGGTTTTTTGCAATTAGCTACAGCAGGATGAATTTTGAGAAATTTGTGTGTGGATGTATTTTAAGGTATTTGGCAGAAACATAATGTTGTATGTTACTCAGTTTTGGTCTACCGAATTGTAAGTTATCTCTTCAATTAGTTATTACATTTCTGGGATTTTTTTTATAATTGTTCAAACACCTCTAATTTAAATGACATGGATGCAGTGTTAGTTTTATTGATATCAAGATGTGAATTTCAAGTATTGTGCCATCCCACAAAAAATAATTATGTTTTTTAAATATTCTTTTTTGTCAACCAGCTTCCAGTATATCTCAGCCTATTTTATTGTGCTATAATAGAACAACATCATAGCTTTATAAATTACCATTGTTAACTTGTGCCTAATTAAATATTCACACTGTTTTTGAAGATTTTTTTAATAAAAAGTAAATTTCTCCTGGAATAGCTTAAGATTATCCTGTTTAAGTGGGAAGTTTGAGGGATTTTATTTGTTCAAGAGAAAGTGAGGAAAGAATTATGCGATGTGCGGATATGATCTAGCATAATGTATAAAGGTTGATATATTTTTAGCATAGCATAGTAGAATTACATGTATTACAAAACAAAGTATTTTTATACATTGAATAATTCACTGAAATTTTTTATCATCATTTGAAATGTTAAAATTTATATCAGAAAAAATGACAAAATGATATTCTTTTTTTCAATGATTCATGATTCATGAATTTTTCCATGTTGTTATGTATGCATCACACCATAAATTAATTACCAGCAATTGTCTATTACAAGGATTTTTTTTACCAGGACAATTTTATGATTCAAGTGCTGAGAAGTAGCCAAACATTACAAGAAATAAACTGTCGGCCTTGTCATTCAAATCAAAATTCATTTACATCAGTGAGATTATGCATTCATTTTTGTTTGATGTACATATGATATTTGTTAGAGACCCACCTCTATAAAGTGACCACCTGTGTTAAAAGGTCACTTTAAAACTTCCCAATGGTTGACTGTATCTGTTGTTTGCTTGGTTGCAGGTTTTCTATCTCAGTGACTCGGTCTATAACTAGGCAATGTCTGTTATAAGACCACTTTATGGACTTCTTCAGGAGGTCTCCTAGAACAAGTTGGACTGTTTGTAAATTCAAAGTTGTTTGCACCATAATTTGTATGTGATATATTTCCTTTTCTAAAGTAGAATGAAACCATTTTTATGCTCCTCGAAATTTTCAGGGAAGCATATAGTTGTTGCCTTTTTTTTGATAGAATGATCAGACTTTTGTTTTATTTTAGGTTTGATATTGGAACAAACAATGAACTTGGCTAACGTTACATGTTCCTAGATATTGTACAAATCTAGAATATTTTATGTTTTGTGATTAATATCCTTTAATAACAAGATTTAAGCACAGCCTTATGTTGGATCATTGTAGACAGAAATGGGTACAGTAATAGGATAGATCTAGGTTAGAGGATTTATTTCCTGTCACCAGATAAGTAGGTACTTCACTTTTGTTCCGTTAACTACATTGTAATATCTACAGCTTCACGGACAGCATTTGCTAGACAAATTTTATTTTTGTGGGAAGTCTAAGGTGAATCAAAAGGTCATGTTACTATAAGAATATATATAAAATGAATCAGAGCCTAGATATAATCAGCAGTAAGCTTTGATCTACTCATTCTTATGGTCAGATGCCCCTGTGGTTAAATTAAAAACAAACTGTCCCTTCCTTTATCTAAACACTTCTTGAATTTCTGACTTCAGATGGGGTTACACAGTTACTCTTCATGAAAAAAACCTTGTCATACTGCCGTACTGGTCCTCTTTTTGATATTTTATCATACTTGTGTTTTTCTCCCAGCATGCCTCTTTTTCTCCCAGCATGCCTCATCATTCCTCCTGCTATTGTGATGTCATTTCCTGGATAACTTGACCACAAAATACTCTAGTCAATATCATTGCATCATTAGGCTCATTTATAAACATTAATATATCAATGCATCAAAAGCAATTATATTTGTGTATTTATATATTTGTGCATGTATACAATGATTTTGTGTGAATCCAAAGCATTCTACACTTTGTTTTAACATTGCGTTCTTCACTGTATCAGTAAGACACCTTAATTCATTTACAAATGTAATATTTTAGTATCCTATAGATTGTTTCCTTGGATACTAATTCCTGTATATTCTAACATTTTATATCAGTCTGGAGTTGATCGGTCTGGAGTCGACTATTGGATGTTAAAGCCAAGGGTGCTGGGCAAAGTGCTTTTCCTTGAGGATGTAGATTTCAGGACATTTAACAGTTACTTCTATTGTCAAAATGTCTTAACTTGAATCTCTTTACACTGTGAATGTGTTTTGAAGATTGCATAATATGTTATGAGATGGCAGAATTTGAGATTATGTTGACTTTTGATATGTTAAATATTTTCCCAAATGCCAAACGCTTTTGATTTTTACTACTTTATCAGACTAACTTTAAGACTCATTTTGATAAACAGAAGTTCGAATATATTAGTGACTTGAGTAATTCATGGAGTAGCAAAGCACTTCATCATCAAATTCTATATTCTCCAGAATCTTGACAATGACTTCTAAGGCATGTATTTATCAGTGGAAAGTCTTTAATACTCTGCTCCTAAAAAAGGTTTCAAACTGAAGACAGGTTTATAATTTTTAAGATGATTGGCCATTGAATATTACTTTTTAGTTGATGGAGTGCTGAGATTTCTGTAAACAAAAAGAGTATCGGGTTGGAAAATCAAGTACTGAGATTTCTGTAACCAAGAGTATAAGCTTAAAAATGTTTTTGCTTGATTAAATGTGATTATAGGGTAAGTGATATTATGAAAGGATAACAAATCTAAACAGATGCCTTTTATTCAATCCCACTGGTTGCTGTTGTAATCAGTTTTAAGTTAAATGCACATGAAGGATTAATCATACGGTAAAAATGCCCGTTTTGAAGTGTTTTAAATTTTTGCATATGGTTAAAAATTTTGTGACATAATTTAGAGTCTTTAAAATTGTTAATGGTCATGAATTTTTGGTTTGGTCCAAAGGAGATTCTGCCCACAAATATTTTGTTTCTGGAAAAAAGGGAAACCAGGGATAATGATTTTGGATGAAATTGTAACAGATTTCCAGAGGGCAGTTGGAATTTTGTTTTTGTTTACTTCTGTCGTTGTTTGATTTTGTTGAATTGAAATATATATTCATTATGTTGTTTATATTAATGTATTGGTTTGTGCAAGTGTATACTTATGTAGTTTACACTTTAATATTTTAAAAGAATTAGTTATTTAGTTTATAAACATATATATTTGTTTAATTTTTAGTTTGGTTTGTTGACTGTTTCAGACTTATTTGTTTGTAACTATAAAATGTTGAAAGCAAGAAATAATTAATGGAAACTATTATTGTGGAAAAGTGTTTGTTTTCAATGATTGTATTGTTATTGTCACTAATAAGACTTTTTTTTAAACCAAAGAGATTATTTCTACCTGTAATTACTCTTTTAGCTTCAGACGATTTGGTTGCAGTTAATATCAGATATAGTCTAAGGGACAGAACTCTTGAATTTTAGGTACATTGAAAATATTGAACATTTGCTTTTAGTAAATTGACAACGTTATGAAGTTCTCAGAAAGTGAAACAATTTTTATTTTGACTTTTTTTTTTTTTTGAGAACATTTCATCTCTAGTAGATATAGTTTCCATAAAATGGTGCTTGCTTTGACAACTTTGTTTTTCTTTTTAGACAAGTATTGTATAAATTGCTTTTAACTACCTCAGACTGAAGTTGTAGTCTGTGCACAAATTGTAATACATGTACCTAATAGAATTGGAAACAACTCCTTAGAGAAAGAGCAAGATAAATGGGACCAAAGTGTAGAATATCTGAAGTTTACATGTTAATGTGAGGTTTATATACCTTGCCTTTTCTGTGATGTTTACCTAGAAATAACAAGAAATATCTCTCTGTAATGATTTTACTAAGGAATCCAACCAACCGACATACCTTGAATCAGAGATTCTGTGATGACTCTATGGATTTATTACTCAATATATATCACAAAAGAAAGATGCATCTCCTGTTTTTTTTTCGAATATATTTAAACCTTACTACCATCTTTTCTGAAGCAGAAATTAGGCATTATAACATACATAATTACTGTATATCTGCAAATGTTTGCCCCAGGTTTAATTTACACCCACTTCATCATGAACAGGAGGTGCAAAATAAAGATGAGAGTGAAAAATTGTTATACTTGTTATACCCTTTTAATGTAATGATAAGAGGATGAAATGGACATAAGAGGAATTCATGTATGATGTTACAAGGTTAAAAATATCCCGGTATACAGTACACAGACTATTTGTGGTGGGATTCATTATATGAGGTTTATCTGAATTTCTGCGTGTAGTATAATTCATAGGTTGAGAAAGGTGTTGGATAATATACACAATTTTGCACAAGTTTGGATTTCATACAAGATTTAAGAATCAGGCTTATGAAAAATTATTTTTTATTTTACTGATCCTCAAGAATTAATTCCCATTTTACTACGCCTCTGATTAGCATAATGAAAACTTTGCAACAAGTTAGTGACATCGTTTCATTGTCATTTTCTGATATCACAATAGGACATCTTGCTTGACATTAGGCAAAAAAGAATTACATAGGGTTATTCACAGAATATGGAACATATCACCATAAAACAGTGACATACAAGTGACTGTCTTGATTATTAATGGGACAGGTGTTATTTAATGTGTGGAACAGAGATGAATGCAATTTTCCAATTAGGTTGCCCAGTTTTTCTCAACAATTTCATATTCTAAATGCAAGATATACATTTGAAGGTCTATGAAGTCATTTGTTCAATATGAAAGGATAGGTTAGGAAATGAAATTTGTTAAAATCTGATATTGTCTTGGTGAACATGTATTTTATCTTTGATATAAGAAATGTTTTATTTTTTAGTAATCAATAAACCTTTTACACCTTATTGTATTGTTAAACTATTCTAGTCTATATTAGTTTAATAGGTCTGCTACATTGTATTCTTAGAAATGACCATAATTGATATGAAGGATATTAGTTAAATGTCTCTTGTTTTAAGTTTGTTTTAAGAACTGTTCTCCAATATGTTTTTAACTGTCATCCATTTAATTATTTCCCATTACAAAATAAGAAAAGGACATCGATAGACAATCACTTTTTATTATAATGATGATACATATTCAATTTTCATTGCTTCTTCATCTGTGCTTTAATGCCATAGTTCACATTTACCATTAAACAGTACTTGTATGCCAAAATCTTCTGCAGTCTTACAAAGTGTAAAGCAAGCACGGATTAAAGCACATTATAAAGAGTTAATTCCCTTTATTTTAGAGGGTGGACTATCCAAATTGCTATTAGTCTTTGTTCTGTCATCCAAAAAACAATTTTTGTCAAACCTCTTCAGTAGACTGCCTCCGTTAAATTATCACATGTGTTAACAGACCACCTATGTTTCTAAAGACCACATTTAACCTCAACACTGATGTTTTTCATGCTAAATAAACTTGTTATGAGGCCAATAAGAGACAATATTTTGAAATCCCGAATGTTGGTTTCTCACATGTAAGGACAATGTTGTTACCCCACCGAAAAAATGACCCAAATAATTCTGTTACTAATAAAATACAATCTATTTTACAAAAATATTGTAAAATTTCCTTGCAATATAGTTGCATGTTTGAGAAATAGATTGAAAATCATTCATTCTTTTTTCTAACGGTGATAACGGAAATTGTATACTTAATTTTGTTGAGTAAACTTATACTGTTGTTAAAAATGACCAGTTGTGTTGGCCTTCATGTAATTTTTTTGGTTCAATTGCCTAAAAATTAATCTTAAATAAGATGTCACACCATGCTTTAGGTAGTCACAAGAATTAAATATTTTCTTGCTTTAAAAATGAAAATTGAACACTATACATTTTTCATTTTATCAGTATTTAACTGGAGCTTAAATCAGTATGCATTATCATATTACTGTCAAAGTCAAGCATCAAATATATACTCATGTCAAAAATATATATTGTGCTCATAATTTTAGCTCCAGGCCAATTTATAGATACCTAGTATTTGTTCTATGATGAGATATGATTTCACCTATTTTGATTATTTGTGAATATTTTTCACTTCATTTGTTATGATATTGGTATTTGTCCAGTTACCAACCCTGTAAATCAGTTCCACAATAAACAAACTTTAAATAATGAAATGTGTTAAAGTTTTCTTACTAAAACATAACCAACTGGTATAAAGATAACAGTTTACCGGTTTTCCAATAGAAATGTTTCAACACATTTTCTTCAGAATAATGATCTGAAAGGAATGAAAGTTCTTATAACACAATCAGTACAACTTAAAGGTAAGAGACAATCGCTCAGGATTCTGAAATTATTATTTATTACTGTTCGTCTACCAGTTTCACCCGAAACATATGGGCTTCTCCATGACCAGTACAATAAGTACAAGATTTGAGTGTGATGTTTTTATGACTACACCCAATCACCTTTATCTGACAAATGACCAGTGTGAAACATACAAACACTATTGGAAGTAGTTTATGAAATGGTAAGGAATCAATGTCATACTAAAAATTTTCTACTGGTTGTGTTATAAGATGAAGGTGACCTTGTAGTCATTGAAACGTCACACTCTAATCTTCTACTGGTTGTGTTATAAGATGAAGGTGACCTTGTAGTCATTGAAACGTCACACTCTAATCTTCTACTGGTTGTGTTATAAGATGAAGGTGACCTTGTAGTCATTGAAACGTCACACTCTAATCTTCTACTGGTTGTGTTATAAGATGAAGGTGACCTTGTAGTCATTGAAACGTCACACTCTAATCTTCTACTGGTTGTGTTATAAGATGAAGGTGACCTTGCAGTCATTGAAACGTCACACTCTAACCTTCTACTGGTTGTATTATAAGATGAAGGTGAACGTGTAGTCATTGAAACGTCACACTCTAATCTTCTACTGGTTTTGTTATAAGATGAAGTTGACTGTGTAGTCATTGAAACGTCACACTCTAATCTTCTACTGGTTGTGTTATAAGATGAAGGTGACCGTGTAGTCATTGAAACGTCACACTCTAATGTCCTGCTGGTTGTGTTATAAGATGAAGGTGACCGTGTAGTCATTGAAACATCATACTATAATCTTCTACTGGTTTTGTTTTAAGATGAAGGTCACCGTGTAGTCATTGAAACGTCATACTCTAATGTCCTGCTGGTTGTGTTATAAGATGAAGGTGACCGTGTAGTCATTGAAACGTCACACTCTAATGTCCTGCTGGTTGTGTTATAAGATGAAGGTGACCGTGTAGTCATTGAAAAGTCATACTCTAATGTCCTGCTGGTTGTGTTATAAGATGAAGGTGACCTTGTAGTCATTGAAACGTCACACTCTAATGTCCTGCTGGTTGTGTTATAAGATGAAGGTGACCGTGTAGTCATTGAAACGTCACACTCTAATGTCCTGCTGGTTTTGTTATAACAACGTTCATTCTGTAAGTTGTTCTGATATATTTATATCACTTCACATAGAATTTTGGAATAGGCATTTGGAAACGGTATCTAATCTAGAGATTTGTACATGTATTTAGTGATATTGCATGTGATTTTGATAAATTTTATTTTTTTCAAAATATTTAAATACTTTATCACTATCTTATGGATATTATCTGGATCAGACACTAAAATATCACACTACAGCTGTAATTAGAAAACATAACAATTAGAGCATTTGATGATAAACATGTATTTATTGGTGGATGATAAATATATACAAAACATGATAAGTTAGATATCAGTGAACTTTGACCCCTCTGTAAAGCTGGTTTCTTTGGAATGGCACTAACTCCAAAGTCTGTCTGACAGCAGTCTGGTGTTGTATCTGTTGCAAAAAGACAAAAATATTATAAATCTAATAATCTGACTTACTGTACACATCAATATATGACGAGTGATTTAGTGATATCTCTTTGAATATTACAAGTTTCAAATGATCTCTTTCTTTGCTTGGCATGTCTTCTTAGTTTATGATAATCAATGCAATGCAATGTTGATTTATGTCAATAAGTTAAAACTTTGGATATGCTGTAGTCTTAAAGACATTAAGTACATACTTATGTATAACTTATGTAAACACAGATCTTAACTTTGATAGTCTTTTTAATAGTCACCAATTATTACCACTGCCAATGTTGTTAGCCTAACTACCAACAGAACATAAATTTTGTTATAAAAGCAGAGCTGTGATTAACTGAACATTTCCGTTAGTTCAATTATGATGCAAAGAAAGAGTCATTTAGTAAAAATATGGTCAATTAAGATTTATATCTGCTTCCTGAAATATTGTTTTCATGAATGCTGTAATAATTATCTGAAGTGATATGATAAATAGAATCTTACATTTGTTTTCATTTCATATGAGATTATTTAACTCATCGCAAAATTAAAAATTTTACCCTACCCAGTGACATATGTCACTGTCTTGACAGAGGCTCAGTTGAATAAACAAGAGATCCCAGACGGATCTTGGCATCCACTATTGTTTGATCTTTATTATCTTTTTTCTTCTTTCCTTTGTTTTTGCTCTTAATAATATGAAATTTAAAACCTTCTTTGAGAAAGTAATGATGAAAATTTGTATTACAAAAATCCAAGATGGCCACCTGTCAACCAGTTAGTTTATCTGATCAATTCTGAAATCAAACAGGCACAACCTGGGGCCACGGGGAACCAACAAATGAAATTTGAGAAAGATCCATCCAATATTATGCGAGAAATATCAATAACAATAATTGTTTACGGACAAACAGACAATGACGGAACACGGACTTCGGATGATCAAAAGTCCTAGGACTCATTACCTGCATATGAAATGGACACTACCTGGTACTACATAATCTATTTGATGTATTCCAACAGACATTAAGTACTGATCGAGGTGGGGGCTGTAATATAAGTCCCTCCAACTAACTCTACAGTCTGGTAATGCATGCAGTACAAGATTATATCAGACTCACATTATCAAACCATCGGGATAAGTTCACAAATGTTTCCTTTTCGTAAAATGTCAGACCACCCTGAAAAGAGTAGTTTTGAAAAAAAGGCATTATTTATATATGTTCTTTATATATAAGTTTCTCAACTTCACAATTCTACAAAAATAAGTTAAACAAATCCAGGTAAAAGGAATAATCTCTTTTGTCGTTAATCTGTGAGAAAGATTTTCATTATCCTCAGGGAAAATGGTCTAAACCATATGCTTTTACCAACTGATTTCAAAAGTCTTTGAAGGGAAATATTTCAGAGACGATTGTTCAGATAATTAAATATCCGACATGCATTATAATGAATTTAATGTTACCATGGAACTAAATTGGGTAAAATGTATGCCTGCTATGTGCAGGTGTGTTCACATAGGTCTGGAAGTTATCAATGATGGAAAGAAATTCTTTGTCACCTGTTTAACAAATCTGTTGGTTTTGTAGCTCACCTCAATTTATATGAAAACTTACTACGATTTTGACGAGACCATTGTAAAGGAGGATATCGGCCAAGGTCAGCCAGTTGCCCATTATGTACACTTTGTCTGCTAAATACTGGTTTAGCTCCTGTTAAGTATCAAAAAATCAAAATCAACTGATCATATTACAAGTACAGCTATCAGGGCTGACTCAACTTCATCATTTCTCTGGCAATTCATCATATATATAAGTATGAGTTTTTCTAATATCAAATCAATTTTCAATTTAGAGAGTATATCTTGTTTGATCTCTGTAAAATGTTTCTTAATTGATCTAAAATCATCTTGGTACCATTGCAAGGAAACACACAAGGAAATAAAACAACACAATGAACCGATATAACAGATAATCCTGTGCTGTCCTGGTGGTGTCCTCAATCAAGACACACAAGGAAATAAAACAACACAATGAACCGATATGACAGATAATCCTGTGCTGTCCTGGTGGTGTCCTCAATCAAGACACACAAGGAAATAAAACAACACAATGAACCGATATGACAGATAATCCTGTGCTGTCCTGGTGGTGTCCTCAATCAAGACACACAAGGAAATAAAACAACACAATGAACCGATATGACAGATAATCCTGTGCTGTCCTGGTGGTGTCCTCAATCAAGACACACAAGGAAATAAAACAACACAATGAACCGATATGACAGATAATCCTGTGCTGTCCTGGTGGTGTCCTCAATCAAGACACACAAGGAAATAAAACAACACAATGAACCGATATGACAGATAATCCTGTGCTGTCCTGGTGGTGTCCTCAATCAAGACACACAAGGAAATAAAACAACACAATGAACCGATATGACAGATAATCCTGTGCTGTCCTGGTGGTGTCCTCAATCAAGACACACAAGGAAATAAAACAACACAATGAACCGATATGACAGATAATCCTGTGCTGTCCTGGTGGTGTCCTCAATCAAGACACACAAGGAAATAAAACAACACAATGAACCGATATGACAGATAATCCTGTGCTGTCCTGGTGGTGTCCTCAATCAAGACACACAAGGAAATAAAACAACACAATGAACCGATATGACAGATAATCCTGTGCTGTCCTGGTGGTGTCCTCAATCAAGTCCACTTTACCTCAGTTGATTTGTTCAGCATGAGAGGGGCCATATGTATGTCATTCAATTGTAAAGTACCTAGTCACAAACCACTACAGGTTCAAGGAGACCCTATCTGAAAATGACTCTAGTCTTGAGTGGATGTTGACAGGGTGATCAACTGCAACCCAACATACAATCCTGAGTATGTAAAGGGAAATAACTCTAGCTGTCTTCTCTTATTGGTGAAAATTTGTATACACGTCATGTTCTATTGAACAGCAGAAGGAATGCAGTGCAATTTTGTATCATTCAGTGATGTTTCTGGCATTTAAAATATTCTCTTCGGTGTTCTTTTGTTTTTAAGTGTGTTTAATTTCATCCAAAAGCTATACAAGACAACTCAATTGAAAGAGTCATTTCACTTTGGTATATAATGACAAATTATCACCACTAGTAATGTTACTGCTATTTATAGGGCTGTTAATTATTGGTTATGTTGAATCTCATAATAACAGAAAGAACGAAAAAACTGTTACAAAAAATAATATGATACATATATATTTTATTTTGAACTGCAATAAATATAACATTGATTTGTTGTTGTGTTAATTGCCCTGTGAATAGCCAGTGTCATTTTGAGGCCAGGTCTCTGTTTAGTATCTAGTGGTTACCTCACTAAACAGCATACAGATAGCCAGTGTCATTTTGAGGCCAGGTCTCTGTTTAGTATCTAGTGGTTACCTCACTAAACAGCATACAGATAGCCAGTGTCATTTTGAGACCAGGTCTCTGTGTAGTATCTAGTGGTTACCTCACTAAACAGCATACAGATAGCTAGTGTCATTTTGAGGCCAGGTCTCTGTTTAGTATCTAGTGGTTACCTCACTAAACAGCATACAGATAGCCAGTGTCATTTTGAGGCCAGGTCTCTGTGTAGTATCTAGTGGTTACCTCACTAAACAGCATACAGATAGCCAGTGTCATTTTGAGGCCAGGTCTCTGTGTAGTATCTAGTGGTTACCTCACGAAACAGCATACAGATAGCCAGTGTCATTTTGAGACCAGGTCTCTGTGTAGTACCTGGTGGTTACTTCACTAAACAGCATACAGATAGCCAGTGTCATTTTGAGACCAGGTCTCTGTGTAGTATCTAGTGGTTACTTCACTAAACAGCATACAGATAGCCAGTGTCATTTTGAGGCCAGGTCTCTGTGTAGTATCTAGTGGTTACTTCACTAAACAGCATACAGATAGCCAGTGTCATTTTGAGGCCAGGTCTCTGTGTAGTATCTAGTGGTTACTTCACTAAACAGCATACAGATAGCCAGTGTCATTTTGAGGCCAGGTCTCTGTGTAGTATCTAGTGGTTACTTCACTAAACAGCATACAGATAGCCAGTGTCATTTTGAGGCCAGGTCTCTGTGTAGTATCTAGTGGTTACTTCACTAAACAGCATACAGATAGCCAGTGCCATTTTGAGGCCAGGTCTCTGTGTAGTATCTGGTGGTTACCTCACTAAACAGCATACAGATAGCCAGTGTCATTTTGAGGCCAGGTCTCTGTGTAGTATCTGGTGGTTACCTTACTAAACAGCATACTGGAGGCATGGTGTGTGCCAAAACAACTAGAGTATCTCAATAAAGTGTTTTGAATGCCCATTACTATGATAAAACAATATCAGCACCACAAACCAGTTTACTTCTCAGCCTTCAGAAAATCATATACCAACAGGGGTATGAATTGTTGAAACACACACTTTGTATCTTCATCTGAAGATGTGTAGGCCAATGCTATACTGACTGAGCAAGAAGGCCACTCTGGTGTATTACAACATTTCTGAGTAATTTATTTCACTGGTTTTCTGACATACTGAGACTGACTTTGGAAGATGCATCATAAAACACATTTGAACTAAAACCCTGCACATACAATACATACTGGTCATGTATAGTGGTGAGATATGTAACCACTGAGTATAAGTTTAGGGTCCAAGGGAGGTAACTCCATTCAGGATACAAATACTGATTCATATCTTTTTATTAGTTTTAATGATTTGTACAAAAATCCAGATAAATTAACTGGCACATGTATACATTTAGGAAATTTGAAGTTGCTGTTTTTTATAGACAGGAAATAGTGACTTAATTACACATCTATAATTTAGGTACACTACAGTTGGTAGGAAGTAGGGAAATACCGAGCTAAACAATTAACTACTAAGGCTGAACAAAAATATTTCCTGCTTACAGTTACCCCGTCTACTCTAATATTTTGCTTCTACTCTAAACTTTTAAAGACAATTTTCAAAGAAACACTAACAAAGTCTCTCTCCTACATAATTATTTGTAAGAATAAAACTTTTTCTACCTATATATCTTCCCTATTTTTTCTCCAAATCATCATAAGAATCGTGTGTAATTTTTGTTTGGCCTAACTGGAAGTGAGAGTGTAACCAATTACCACTTGTCTGAAAATTTCTGCTTCAGCTAAGCTGTATTATCAGAGAGAGCCGGGAAAGTTATAACTAATATTATGTAGCACATACCTTGAGACAACTTGTGACATCTTTATCCTGAGTGGACCGATCAATATGTGTAACTCTGTACTCCAGCCACTGGTCAACAGCTGCCTTATCTTCCTGTGTTGCTCCTGTATGCAACACAAAAGTGAAGGCTTATTCTGCTGGATATTCTACAATTCTTTTGTCTCAGCTTTGCCTTACCACTTTCATTGTAAAGAACAGTACAATATATTTATATATATATGGACTGAGGGAGAAGCTTAAGATCAATATTTTTTCAGGTCAATAGAAAACCACAAAGATTTTAAATCTTATTTTGCTTATGGACTGATCATTCAATTATTTCCTTGTATATATTAATATGTTATTGAACATTCAAACATATGCCTGATAATCTACAAATCTACAAAACAGTGCAAAAATTCTAAAACTTATCAACAATCACATGCATTACTCAGGATATCTCAAAATATCCTTAAGACAAGTATATTCAACCTCATCATCTCGAAGTTGACAGTACCTCAATTTAAGTGAGTTCCAATTTCTGGTATGAAGTTTATGCCATATGTTATATTGACCTGCATGTGACCATTGTTTATCCAATCAAACAGTATACTGTTGTTATTAAGAAAAGTGAAAATTTTTAAGCAATTACTATATTTATCTAGTGGTAATACCATATGAAATTACAGGATAGATATTGGGTTTTTTTAACAAGGTTTCACAATATCAGAAATTTGAAACCATTTTATGACTACTTACTGGTAGTGATCATTATCATTTCTCACACATAAGATGTTGGATAAGCAAAAAACTTATTTGGAAATAAAAAGGGATGAAATCACATTAAAAAAAATGGAAAATTGAAACATCAATTAGTTCAACAGACAACAGAAAATGCACATGAAAAAGACAGTAGATATTCATTCAATTTCTTTTCTATCATTTTGTCATTCAATACTTACCTAAAAGAGCATCAGCATGCTGACTGGATCTTGTTAAATATTTTGCTACAGTAACCAGCCCTTTAGGATTAGAGTTGTTTTGGACTTTCAAAACTGGTACCTGTGCAAAGATAAATCACCTTTGTTCATATCAATTAACTGAACAGCACAACTCATTCCACCAAGTTATTGCCAAGTTCAAATTTGAATTGGCCCAATCATATTTTAAATTAACAACTACAGTGCTTATATAAAAATGATAACATTTTAAGGGCACACAAAATGAATTTTCTTTCTTTCTGCAAAAATACATACCTATTATACTTGAACTAATAATTATTCATTCAAAAGGGCAGTAGACATTTGGTATGGTGACAGAGCATGTGCACACATCAGCTAACTTGGTCCTCATGAGAATTTATTATTGGTAAAAGCATGACATTTATATGTACAGTGAAACCTGTCTAATTCGACACCTTACTTTTCCAACATCTTGTCAAATCCGACACTGTACCGTATTCCCATGAAATTGCGTTATTTGTCAATGGTTTAAAACACTGATATTTCCAGTCATTGTCAGTTCTGAATTCTGACACATATTTCTATGAAGGCAGGCTATCTTTGTTAGTTAATTATACCTGGTAAATCAGACACGTAAGTCATCATCGCACCACAGATGTGTACACAACTGTTCCGCTTGACGTGGCGATAGTCGGTACATGCGGTGGGGTTACAAAGGGGGGATTATTGTACTGTACACATGTAAGTTTACCCTGCCATAGTGAGTATATGTCAGTTTTTTTTACACATACATGTATCTCTAACAACTAAAAAGTCGAAGTAGAGTTATATTCTTGCAGTGTTTGATTTGATATCGTTGTCTACGGATGTTAAAATTTACCATGACATCTTCACTATCGTGTAAAAAAAGACTTTTAACGGATACAAGTAGTCCATCACCAAAGAGGCATCAGACTAATTTAACTTTGGAAAAAAAGATTCAGTTAATTGCAGACTCCCAGAAATTACCTTAAGTTTTTCAAAAAGAACTCAGCGTAAAATATGGTATCGGCCGTGCAACTGTCTCCAACATATTAAAACGGAAAGAACAGTACAACAGTCAATTTCAAGAAAACTGTGAGTTGAAGAAAAAGAGATTCACAAATTCATCAAGTTCATAAAGATACCCCATGCGATCGTAGTCACCAATGCACAGTATACAGATGTAGAACATACATGTACATTGTATTTAAAAGATTAAAACAAAATTAAAACGTCAGTAAATTAATACTTCATTGTTTTGTTTTATTTTTAACACCAGAGTGTATTTGTATGCACATTAGTTGTATGCTTAACGTATCTACCGGCGGTAGCATATATTTTTGTGTACAAAGTGAAGTCAACAACAATACCTGGCTTTTCTGACACCCTGTCTAATCCGACCAAAAATGTCACTACCCCATGGTGTCGGATGAGACAGGTTTCATTGTATAAGGTCTTCAATGCTTGGTTACATATTCATGCAATGACCAATCATACACTGACCTTACCTACTCAACTCTGCCTTTGTACTGGACACAATGCAATAACATAGCATTCTGAGGCATCCTCATGTATACAAAGTTAACAGAATAGTCATCTTAAATTTACAAAGATTAAGAGACAAACTCCATGTACAATATATACAAAGCAAACCTGTTGAAATATCATGTGTGCAGCACAATGCCGCCATATAGGTAAAACAATTCATTACATTGTGCTCTTCAATTAAAAATACCATAGACACATATACCTTGTACATGTTCCTGGTTGCTTTCATGAAACTTGTTTGAGAAAAGTCTGAATTGTGTAACTATAGTCACTTTTAACTGAATATTATTATACTTTTCTTTCAAACCACACAATTTAGATAAAACAGCCTTTAGTTAAAGTATATAATTATGAATTCGTTATCAATTCACATGAATACATTGGCGTTAGCTAAGATGAAACTAAAAATTGGGTCAAAGGTGTCAATTATATATGGTCAGTCAAGCTAACCAGTCTCGTCGTTTTGTAAGCAACCCATAAACAGCTGCAATGCTGTGTCAATTTCGGGGACTAAGGAACAGTCCGGGTATTATGATAGTAACACCGGAATATGACAGACATTACTAATGACTTTCCCTAGCCTAACACAAGACTGCTCCAGTAAGACGTTAGACATTTTGAAATACAAAAGATTTACTTTTATTCGTTCAATAGATGGTGTAACCTAACAAATCAGAATCACAATATATTTTATTCACTGTTACTGTACAAGTACCTGTTGTAACTAAATGTGACTGAGGCATTCATGTTAGACTACCGCGCACCGGCGTTTAACCAAAGTTGCAGTCGACGATTTTGCTTAATTTAAACAGATCATATACACTTTGTTTAAACAACGGAACACAAACACTGACAAACACACTCATGGTCACCTTTTCTTTCCCGTCAAATGAAATCTTTCCACAAGAAACACCTAAATATGTTGCAAGTCGTGAGAGTTCCTCACATGTGTCCACCATCTTGGATTTAATACTCGGAAAGCTTCAAGCTTTGGGGTTCAAATTGTATGGATATGTCACGAGAGACACGAAAATAGAGTGTTCATTGCAATATATCGCTTATCACCATTTATCCTAATTTATAGATAAAATATATATCTAAATCACACGAAATATTCAACGCAAAAAGTATTATAAAATATTGAGTTTGAAAATAAAAGACATTGAATTGTATTGATCTATTAAACTTTATCGTAATTATTTCAAAGTGTGCATATCGAAACCTCCCCAGGAACCTCGCTACCAGGGCCAATTCCATGCAAATGTGGATCGAGGTTGTCGACACGTATGTATTGCACACTTGTGATTACCAAAGACACTTGTCAGAATGAAGCCGGCGGGACTGGAGTGTCAGTTTTCTTCTAAGTGTTATTAGTCAGGGTAAAGGATTAAATGTGAAATGCACTCAAAGGACATACAAATACGACCCCTAAGAGAAGATGAAATTGGACTTGCATACGAGTTAGAAAAAGAAGGTATTTATATTATAATAGTATTATTGTGTACACCGCCAGTATTTGCAACAGTAATTGAATGTGTATATATATATTTGTTTTGTTTTTATAGGTTTACTTCAATTGAAAAATTATCTTTTAATTTTTGTTTCGCTAATTAATGCATGTAAAAGTCGGGTATAGGTGTACTTTAGTGTAGATTGCAAACAATTTCCACATCATAAAGCAGATGGATAAAGAATGCTTAGGTAAAGAGGAGGTACATTTCTGTACGTGTATACAGATGCTATATATTGGTGTTACGTTACTTCAGGTTGTGTGCGTACATACTGTGCATCACTTGCTTTTGGCGAGCTATTTTTTCCGCAACAATTCACGATTCGATTTCATACGCAACCTGAGGAGCATAAATTAATGCAGTTTGAAACTTCTTAATTGGAAACGATTTTTAGTTGGAATAACTGCATTTGAAACTTCTTAATTGGAAACGAATTTTAGTTGGAATAACAACTTTTATAGAAACTGTGGCTAAGTAATTATTATCTCTCTCTGTCTCTCTCTGTCTCTCCCCCATCTCTCTCTTCCTCTCTCTCTCTCTTTCTCTCTCCTACTCTCACTGTCTGTCTGTCTCTGTCTCTGTCTGTCTCTCTCTCTCTCTCTCTCTCTCTCTCTCTCTCTCTCTCTCTCTCTCTCTCTCTCTCAGTAAATAAATGATAAATGTATACCACGCAGCCTTCCTGAAACAATATGATTACTCGTGGGGAAATCTATAACAAAACCTAATATTTCATACGGTAAAGGAAGGCTAGATCAATTGACCAAGATATGGACAGCATATAGATGTTAGGAGATTATACTGCTGAAAATATCCAAGTTCGTACAGGAGACGGTCACGTGGCGATGAATTCAATCCAAAGTACAAACGATCAAATACGAGTTCAGAGATTGTATTTATAAATAGCAATATGATAAGTGTCGTTACATTTACTACTTTGCTAACCACAAAATTCTAATCTCTCGATATATCTCCACACCACTCTACAACCAAATTAAAAAAAAAAAACCAACAACAACAGAGGACCATTTATTGAGTTTTTATATGTGATATTTTAGGAAGCCGCTTTATAATACCATTTTCACAGATCACTGACAGTAAAACAAATTCAAAAGGCCCTATATCATATATAAGTGTGTTGAGTAGATTGAAACTCTTAACATGTGCACGACTGATGTAATCAATCGTCCGGCCGTTTTATTATAGTACTAGAGAAGAGATAAGTTGAATACCTATTAATCATAACAGACGATAAAGTAAAACAGTAGAAAGAGAGGTTACCTGTGGGTTTGCGGATGTGCTTGTGACGGTTGGCACTGTTTGAAGTTAATTCTTCAAACGAGGCCTCCAACGTTATGTCAAGGTGAAGAACGCGGCCTCCAACATTACGTCAAGGTGAAGAACGCGGCCTCCAACGTTATGTCAAAGTGAAGAACGCGGCCTCCAACGTTACGTCAAGGTGAAGAACGCGGCCTCCAACGTTACGTCAAGGTGAAGAACGCGGCCTCCAACGTTATGTCAAAGTGAAGAACGCGGCCTCCAACGTTACGTCAAGGTGAAGAACGCGGCCTCCAACGTTATGTCAAAGTGAAGAACGCGGCCTCCAACGTTATGTCAAAGTGAAGAACGCGGCCTCCAACGTTATGTCAAGGTGAAGAACGCGGCCTCCAACGTTATGTCAAAGTGAAGAACGCGGCCTCCAACGTTATGTCAAGGTGAAGAACGCGGCCTCCAACGTTATGTCAAGGTGAAGAACGCGGCCTCCAACGTTATATCAAAGTGAAGAACGCGGCCTCCAACGTTATGTCAAGGTGAAGAACACTTATTACTACGTAGGTACGTTTTTATGTTAGAGCATTGCTGTTCAGAAATTGATTATGTAAAGACAAGCTTAGGTTTTATGAGGAGTCAAAAGTGTTACTAAATATCATTAGCCTGCAAACTTTGCTTTGAAGTGGCATCATTGTCCTTTCGTCCATTTCGCCTCCACAGGTAGAGCGGATCATTGTAGTCCTGATCACAGGGACTAGTCAGGCCCATGATCCGTATTTGTAAATATGATTCATTATGAGTACAGCTATACGGTCAACAGGGTTGATTATCCGTGTGATCCTGATTCTCCGAATGTCGCTGATGGGATGGGTTTCGAATTCAAAGTAAATGATTTGACGCTGTTGTCGCTTAGCATGAAGACACTATCATAGCGGCACACATATCTTCCCATTATGAGTGTGTACTTCCATTCTGTTTACGTCCAGTTGCTTACAGCATTCATATAAGGTCTAGAACCTTATATAGAAGATATGTAGTCGTTCATTGCATGATACTCAAAAGCTTATGGTATGCAATGGTTTTTGTCGGTAACCAAAAGTAACAAAGTGTATTAAAGTATATGCAATATCATACTTTCATAAGGAAAATGCAAGTTTTTCTCTACTTGGGAATTTCGTTCCCTACCTTGTAAAGGTCTGTTTAAACTCGGGGATGGATTTGCCTTCAATATTTTTTTCTTTGCAATGTCAATGCAAATATTGGCCTCCCATTTCTAAATTAGTGAAGTGTGTTTGACCGCTGATCTATAATTCTATACAAAATGGCGAGGTCAGCAAACATTTGAAGCAGAACAAATGCGAGTCAGAACAAAATATTTATCAAAGTGAGGTGAAAGGTGTCAAGTTCCCACTCAAATTAGATTTTTTAACGTCTTGAATGGCCAAAAATAATTCATTATGGAATAATGTTTGCCGACCTCCTCTCCAGCGGCGGATGTTTTATCAGTGTATTTATGTTTTAACATGCAGTGAATGTAAATATTTCAAAATGTATGAAAAGGATTTGAATGAATTGAATATTGTTCCGTTATTTTAATGATTCCGCCAAAAGGTCTCCATACTGTTAGCGATCGAACAAAGCATAATAGTACTTGATATTTTGTGAATAAGTAATTTTTCGATTTCTTTTGTAGCGAAACTTTCTTTAATTAAGAAACGGGAAATACTTGAACGAACTTGTTACGTAATAGTGAAACCAATACACGTTACAGCTACACATGTACCTTTTTTCTGGACATTAATTTTCTACTTTATTACTACAGGGCTTCTATTTGAAAGACGACAGTCATTTTGGCGGAGATCTTTTATATTAACAAAAGGAAGAAAATAATAATGGAATCTTTGGAAATGAATACATTTTCTCATTCTTAAAAGTGGTCTAAATCATACAAGATTGTAATAAAATGCTGTTTTGGATGTTTTGCAACTTACGATGTGCTGTTCAATAAAACTGCATTTCGTGTGTAGAATAGAGTTTAGTTCAACAGATCAACCCTTGGTTGTATCTAGTAAAACAGTTTCAATAACAATGGAAAATGGAGGATTATAATCAAAGAACAAGTGGTCACACGGAGTCACAAAAGTTAATTAATATTAAGGCACCTGAAAATAATATATGTTTATTTTAGCGATATGTTAATTGTTTATATAATACACACCATGTGTGCGGACTATAAGGTTGGGATTTCGTGATAAGTTCCTGTGTTACTAGTTCAAGAAAAATAACCTTAGAAATAAAATCTCTGGTGACAATATTATCACTGTGGTGCTAATACCCCATTGCGACAATTTCACACGAGAAGAGGAACCAACCTGTTAATTCAATGACCGACTACAAAGTGTTTGATATTGCTAAAATCTATACCTGCTCAAACCTATAAACTGGGGACAATTTCACCTGTAGGCAAGTTCTAATCAATAATATTCCATGACAAGGAAACGTTTAATTAATGTTTCTATAGTATGAGCGACCGCTCGACTAATTCACAGTGGACCGTCAATGCCGGACTGAGTCCTTTGAGATTTCTCAATATCTCGAAATCACACAAACTGTTATAGGTTCTCATAAATTGCCCGTATCTTGGTATGTTTGGTAGGCCGTAATGGCCGTGGTAGTTTATCATCACAGTTCAATGCGTAGACCAATTTGTAAATTGTTTAGCGGTGTCTCTATATAGCATATTAATCGACCGCTTTCGTTGAAATTTTCTCTTAAGGTAAAATTTCATGCATTGTGTATTCACTGATAACAACTCGTTTCCAGTTACCTCAAATTTATTGATTTTTCAGGTGCTAAAATATTGTTTATTTGAAGTCAATATCGTTATATTAACCAACAAAACATTACACGTGCGGTTTTGTTTTTGCCAGAAAACGGAAGTATGAAATGGAGTCACCAAATTTGCATACACCAATTTCTTTAAATGATAATAATTATTAAAACCTGCTCAGACACTTGATTTTTATGTGGCAATGGTCGGCCTTTTCGAATTTATTCGTGAAAACGCCAAATCGTGCAATAGTTATACAATTCTTACCTTTAGTTGAAAGTTCTCCCTTTGATATTTCAGTGTCTACTGTTCTTTTTATATAAATGGAAATTTAGGCATTTTCTCTGTTTGTTGTTGTCCATCGATCTAAACACTTTTAAAATCAAACATTATGAATGTAGATTTCTTTCCATCTTACTTACTCTCTTGTAATAAGGAATTAGAAACATAAAATATAGCGTGAGTTATAGTTATAAATCGTCCTCTTTGCTGTAACTGTAACGGTATTCATCTCACCTGGCGTGGAGATTATCCCCACTCAAACTGAACCACTGAATTTTTAAAAAGCGGTATTCACGGCTATATTTTCCCGTGTACAAATATTGACACAATCCAACACTGTATCAGCGCGGAGTAAATTAAGGTGATTTATATACTAATAACGCATATTGATTATGCAACCCATGAGAACAGTTCAAGAGAGCCGGTCTCCACACAAATCTATCGTTTACGTACACAACCAAGACAGAAACTAGTCCATATATTTTTGAAAGTGGAATGTCTTATAGATCAGATCATGCTTTGATAATGCACAACCGACCCGTTTACTGTGATTTGATTTAAAATTTGTTATCATAAAAATACTTGTCCTGATGTATATTGGATTGGATAGAAAACGTATTATGATAAAGTTATAAACATTTCAGTGACTAAAGAAATAAAACTAAAGCCAATTAAAACTGTAGATTACTGACGCAGAAAGAATATTCAAAGTAGAGCATTGAGCGCAGAGTAATGGAAAAGCACCCAGAGTGATAAACCAGTTCTTTTAACGAGGGAGCTTCTGCCTCATCGAAACAAAAGTCATGTAAATACGGATCAAATGCAAATTATGTTACGTTCTCAAAATGAGAATCGCGGCAGTAACGAGCGAAAAAAGGATGTGTACCATAAAACATCCACATAGTCTTCATCTTTCAGAATTTGCCCTCCTGATCATTCAATGTCTGTAACGGAATGAACAGAAACTAAGATACATTAAAGTTATATGAAGATCACACATCGAGATGGAACATCACCCCTTAATATAGGTTCCTTTTGATGAAGAATTTACCATTGAAAAATAAACTTATCAATCCTTATAAAGTCACCCTTTCTAAATATTTTGATTATTGAAAAACATTCAAAGACACTGCTGCAATCGAATGTCATTTTTAAAAACAAATTGTCCGTATTCGTGTCAAACGATCGAATTTAACTACAGCTTAAAATAAATTACCCCATACTTGTTTTGAAGTTAGATAAACATATCTCTCAAAACTGGCAATCGTTACAGATAGTTTAAACGTTATGTGTTTGGGGATTAATATTTAGCTATGTTTTCACACTAAAATCTACGCTATCTGTGTCAAAGAATGCTGTCTAATACTTTAACCCGCGACGCACAGTCACATTAAATGCCATCGAAATTCTCATCTGGGTCTCTCAGGCCTTAGATTGAGTGCCAGGTTTACCCTGATTGTATTTCCTGTTTGCTGAGAGATTGTACAAAAGGGTCACTAAGATTCACGGGTTATCTCCAAATCAGCGGAAAATCAACAGGGGGTTTTTAACTCTGATTCAACATGTTTGCACGAAAACTAAACCTGCTCTTATCCAGAATTTTAATCAACCACTTCGAAAAATCAATTAAGAAATACAGCTAGAGGAATTCATTTGGAAACATCACAGGTTTTCAGTTACATTGATGATAAGTGATAGATGATTATGTTTCCTATGGGCATGCTCATTGCATTATTTAATGAAAAGAACTGAAGATTAAAAGTTTAAAATTTTCTAATGTGAAACGTCAGTCATGTAAAAAGTTATCAGTACAACAAATGGCATTACTTGCTATCTCGTAAAAAGTGCTACACAACTGAAAAAACACATTGTTAGTTTTTAAATAAACCATTTTACCTTGGGTATTTCGGCTATTAGTAATGTCTACTTTTTCAATTATTTTTAAAGATAAATGAAGAATTACATTTTCCCATCTATAGCTATATAAAAACTTATATGATATATGCAAAGGCATGTTACAAGTTCATGCCTCCCTATTTTGATATTGCATATCATGCTTCATATTGTGATATGAAACATAATCGTAAAAAGCCGAGGAAACGATAACCTTGTAGCACGTATACTGTTAAATACAGTGTAAGATTTACAATATACTCACTGACATATTGTTGTCTTATGTTACATCCTAGATGGAGTTAGCATGGATTTTCGAACACTTAAATTGGTTTATAAAAACTGCAGGATAGGTTGAAAAGAGTTACTGAATACAGGTACTCCTGCTTATCTGTTAAACAGTGGTTAGAACTGCGGAAGACAGGCTTGCAGGCTGATGAAGGTGATAGGGAAGTTTTACGGTCGTCATAATGATCTTATAAGGAAATCTCTTTCCGTGCGCGATATGAAATCGGACGTGTTTGGTGTCCATCCATTTACCTGGTGGTTGAGTTTTTGTTTATCATGTTCTTGTCTGTCTGTCTAACATTAATTACTCAGATTTACATGGTGTCGTCGATGAAGCAGAAGACATTTGGTCCTTTACAACACCAGGTCTCCTTATCCATTTTAACGAGTCTCCATGTACATTTTTCTCTTGTCCATGTTTTGACGTAGATTAATTGACTTTGAGTTTGATTTAGAATTTCGCTGACATTTCGATATTTTCAATGTTTTTGCATGTAGTTTAAGGGTATATTAGACTGGGCGACATGGGTTGAAGCGAGTACACTGTAACAGTGTTAAGTTCATTCGGTGAGCTTTCACTTTCAATGGTTATTGTATGTTTTCTGACAGAAATTAGAGTCGATGTATACTGAAATTAGTATGTCTTCACATTTATTTAATAAAATCTTCTTTTCTTGTCAGACATTAACAGTGTTTTGATAGTGTGATATAAAATATTTGATTAACATACAGCATTTCTCTATACATTGGATATCAAGTATCAGGAATTTATTTTATTAGTGTATAGTTGAGTGTTTTGGTGCTATTATATGGAGTTCAATACCATCGAATTCTGATATACAGGCAGGTACCCGTTGGACGTTTACTTTTAATTTCTTTTTCCTTTTCATATTTTTAAAAGATAATGATCTTGAGTAAAATACTCACCTGTCTCTGTGAATTTAAAGGAACATGATTCACCATATAATTTCACTAGACAGAAGAATTTCTGAAAGCAGTTTTAAATATTAGCTACAGACAGACGTCAGAGAAGTAATTGTTAAAGAAAACTGCACAAAATAAATTGTTCTGGAGCTAATTTGTTGAAAGATTCAAAGAAGAAACCAGTTGTAGTCACACTGGTGTCGTAATGCTTAAGTAGAGTTTGGTTTTGATGTCGATATGAAGTGTGAAACACCTGCCTGTCAAAAGAAGTTGAATTACAGTGGGTGATTTTCACACCTATCATTGTATGGTCGTCTCTGTGATCTAAATTGCGTTCTTATTAGGTTATTTTGTATGTTAAGTTAAAAGTAAACAATAATCAGAGATTCTCGCACGGTAACCTAAAAGCTGCTCGAGTAGAAATACCGTTAAAATTGGCAATCGAAAGTCATCAAACGGTTCCAATGTTGACCCAACAATAGGGAACGGGAAACCCGAACAACAAAATCATTCGGAACGAGAATAATGGACTCAATCGTCCACATGAAGACCAAACACATTAACAGTCTGTGTCTGTCCCAAACATTCCAATCGACGCTACAAATGAATGAAATCGATATTACGTCTATCAAGTTCACATTCTAAACGGTAATATGATATGGTCACCATTTTTTCAATGTTACATTCTAAATGGTAATAGGATATGGTCACCATTGTTCTCATGCACGAAAACGATTATAGCGACATTCTGCTTTTAACAGTGAACCTGTTGACAACAGGTAGAACATATCTGATTTAGATTCTCACGGACTGTTTGACTAAATATTTCATGTCATTTACACTGTTTACATTTCTGTTATTTATATTCACTTTCAAAGTGGCAATGATTTATTGTGCTTATAAAGCACTAAACTTCAATACTTTATTCAAATAGAAAACATCAAGCGTATGTTATAGCGATTTATTCTCATCCACAAATGTTCTGGTGTTCATGGATTTCTATTAGAATTTTTGAAAACGTTTTGATAATGACACGTTCGTGTGACATATTCATTACACTTACAGTAAGTCATCTTGGTCAGAGTAAAACAGTAAAACAGAAATGCCGTAGCTTCAGCTCCTATGTACTAGATTTTATAAATATATGTATTTAGTACTCCTGGCCCCACTTGTATAAAACATCTCGACTTGAGATTTCCTCAAGTCGAGATTTTCCTCAGCTAATATCTCCTTGAAAATATCTTGTATGAAAATTCCTCAAGGAATTTCAGGACATCCTAGCCGATGACTTCCTCCTGTTCCTTGAGCAAATTTTATACAACCCGTTTTTGAGGAGATATCAGCTGAGGAAAATCTCGACTTGAGGAAATCTCAAGTTGAGATGTTTTATGCAAGTGGGGCCTTATCAATATATCGCTTACTTTCTCTGATATACATTACCAGATGTGTTATATAATATTTTTATTTAATTTGTCATTAAACAAAAATGATTTTATAATCTATTTACACGTACATTGGTTCTAACTGGTCGTTGTCAAAGGTTATTGATAAAAGGAGAAAGGAAAGGAAATGAGAAAAAAAATAGAGTTAATTTCGTTTCGTTTCGCTCAGAGCTTCACATTTCAGCAAGAACACATTACCTCGGAGTAAATATTATGATACTCGTTAAATGATATTCTTGCCACACCACAAGTACGCTTAATATGCTGCATTCTTAATGTATGTTATATCATTGCAAACTCTTATGTTTTCTTCTTTAGCTGACCGTTAGTCTAGAGTAACTTTTTAATAGTCTAATGTAAATATCAAAGTGAGACAAAAATGATAGTTATGACACAATTTGACACGGAGTTGACAGCGTGCAGATCTAGGACGACTAATGTTGGAAACCTGCAAATAATTCGTTAATTTATGATGTTTCATTTAAACAAATTCTTATGACATGAAAGCTTTTGATTTTTTCTCTTTTCTTTTACAGAAGAAATTGAGTTTGTGAAATTTTCTTGGTTCAAGGCTGCACTACAACATTCAAAGTTCAGTCCCATTTGCAGCAGTATATTAACATCATACACATATATTTATTCTAATTATAGGTTATCCGGAAGATGAGGCGGCTACGTTTGACACGATGATGTACCGTCACAGTGAGGCTCCCGAACTCACGATCGGGTACTTCGATAAAGGGGAACTAATCGGGGTAAGTCACGTGGTTCAGCGATATCTCCTCTAGACAGGGTTGAACTTTTTCTACGATAAATCTTCATCCTCAAAACGTATATTTAAAACGGAGTGCACAGACGTTTTGTGTCTGTTAAATTTGTCTTATAAGCATTATATAACATAAAACGACCAACAGACAAGCTATCATTGGACCAAGATTGCTTGGAAAACAATATCTGTTTTTTTATTGATAGAATGTTCCGTGGCCAGCCACAAATTTACAGAGTAAATTGTAAAACCTCTGGTTGACTTCCTGCTATAAATAGGATTAGCTATATCGGATCATCTTTATATCTAGAATTTGGTACATTTCGAAACAGACAAGACTGGTACATCGTTCTGAGAAAACTATTGTATAAAACAGCAAATATGAAAATCTATAAAATAATGTTTGACATTATTGTCATATTCAAGGTATGTAAATCCGGATACATATCCTTGTGTAGAAAAGGTAGGAAATGCCGTACAACAATAGATTTATGTGGATAATAGTCTCTTCGCTTACAAATCTAACAAATTATGCTGAGTCCCTTTCGAGAAACCAATCAAGCAACACGTTTAATGTAACGTCTGTCTACAGACATAGAGTATATGTACACAGTATAAAACATTTTCATGTATAAAGCTAAACACACATGTTACTGAGTCGTGTATCAATATACAATGTTGGACAACTGTTAAGGAAACTATGACAGATGTAACTCCCTCCGGCACGTGAAGCCTGACCAATCAGAAATGATCAATAGGTACTTGTGTTGTACTGTCAGGAACAACAACACGCCATACGCTCTTAATAAATATTTTATATATCTATTATGCAGGCCATAAATAAGATATAGAAAATAGAAATAAGGCACATGTTACACCAGGGGTCCTTTGAATAGATATCCTTCATCCATGTCGGAAAAATCAATAATGTGTTTTCAACGCAATTAACGGTTTTAGTGTTAAATGATGCGTGGCTGGATGTATACAAGTACAGTTAGACTCTGCATCTTAACGGTTTTATGGTAAGTTGTCCATAATTTAAGGAACTTAAATACCGTACGGCTATAAAATTGTCCACACACGATAAAAAACGGGTTAAAGAATTATCTGAAATAACTGAAGTATCTCTTGTCACTAGTAATACAGGAAGTATTTAACACGAACAAAGCTTTGTAGTAAAATATATAACTATAAAATGCTTTATCAGGTGAGCACAGACAGTTTATTTTATCTTAAGTTTTTATTTTACGTGTCTGTATAACTAAAAAAATAACAATTTGAGAAAATCCTTCTGATTTTTTCCTCGTAACTTTTCCTTTAGAATATCACATTTTGTTCCAATATAATTTTCGTTTTGTATAAGTCCGCCCTCAGTCTTCCCTACTGACATTTGTTTAGGGATATTTTTCTTATTCGAACGATGAATTCTTTGATATGAATGCATAAACAAAGCATGTATTAAGTTATTCTCACTACATAGAAAAATTGGACGAGATGACTGAGATACCTCCATTTTGATAGATTTTTCCTGTGTGTCAAAATGTTTGAAAATACCACCAGATACATTCATTTGAAATGTTCAAAGTATTTCACGCTATTAAAACAACAGACACTGCATACCTCTGAAGATAAGTATACACAGACACAAGAGATAAGATGGGACGATATTTGTTGAAATATACATGTACACATTGGATTACCGAGTAGATTATCTTCAATCAGAGTGACGGACAGTCGTGTTATCTGTTTCAAATATACATATTAGGGTTAGATTTAGAAGAAGGAATAGTATCGCGTGACAGGGTGTCTTAACAGTATTTTATCTGTTGCTATCTCTCAGTGTCTGTGTTGACACAACGCGTGCTAAAGATCCTAGTGTTTGTTAAATAGCGACAGATCATGGTTCTTGTAAATATAAATCAAGCTTAATTACCAGATAACAATGAAGAGTGTTCTGGTTTGAAAACAAGGACAACACAAACAATTGTTAGTGGAAATTGTGTGTAATAAACAATGTTAGACTATTTTGTTAATACGTGACAAGTGAACTAAGAAATCTTTAAATGGTAGGAGACGACATAATAACCGGTACCAGACTCGGCTTGTATCAGGTAGACCAAGAAAGATATAACTGTGCCATACAGAATATAGGCGTATACTACACGATAAACAATGATCCGTTATTTAGGGTAACCCAACACCCGTGTAGGTAAACAAAAATATATAATGTATGTTTCTTTCTGAAATACAGAGGAAAATACAGCACGCGATTGCTACACATGTATCAGAAAAAGATCTGTTTTGGTAGTTTAACATGCTTATTTTGTATCTAATCGGTTTTCTATTTGTAATATCTTAACTGAGTATAGATAATAAGCAAAATTTTGCTCTTTGGTATGTACTGTTTTCATAATGTGTATAACGTTTCTGTTCTTTTTCAAAGTATGTGTCTGGAACCCGTTTCCATGAGCCAAACCTTACTCATGCTGCCATGAATATGCATATTCCCAACGGAGGTAAATATTCATGAGTTTGTTGTTGTTTGTCAAATGTTACAAATGGGGCTGTCGATGAGAGGTTTCTCATTTATAAGTTCACATTCATGTGACGTAACAAAATCTTAAGTTTGCAACATTTGATTTTCAACTTTATTACAGTTTAAGTTAAGCGGCACGAGATCGTTGTATGACATAATAAAAGAAGTGTGTGTGATTAAAGTTTAAGTTAAGCGGCACGAGATCGTTGTATGACATAATAAAAGAAGTGTGTGTGATTAAAGTTTAGGTTAAGCGGCACGAGATCGTTGTATGACATAATAAAAGAAGTGTGTGTGATTAAAGTTTAGGTTAAGCGGCACGAGATCGTTGTATGACATAATAAAAGAAGTGTGTGTGATTAAAGTTTAGGTTAAGCGGCACGAGATCGTTGTATGACATAATAAAAGAAGTGTGTGTGATTAAAGTTTAGGTTAAGCGGGACGAGATCGTTGTATGACATAATAAAAGAAGTGTGTTATTAAAGTTTAGGTTAAGCGGCACGAGATCGTTGTATGACATAATAAAAGAAGTGTGTGTGATTACAGTTAAGGTTTAGCGGCACGAGATCGTTGTATGACATAATTAAAGAAGTGTGTGTGATTACAGTTTAGGTTAAGCGGGACGAGATCGTTGTATGACGTAATAAAAGAAGTGTGTGATTACAGTTAAGGTTAAGCGGCACGAGATCGTTGTATGACATAATAAAAGAAGTGTGTGTGATTAAAGTTTAGGTTAAGTGGCACGAGATCGTTGTATGACATAATTAAAGAAGTGTGTGTGATTACAGTTTAGGTTAAGCGGGACGAGATCGTTGTGTGACGTAATAAAAGAAGTGTGTGATTACAGTTTAGGTTAAGCGGCACGAGATCGTTGTATGACATAATAAAAGAAGTGTGTGTGATTAAAGTTTAGGTTAAGCGGCACGAGATCGTTGTATGACGTAATAAAAGAAGTGTGTGATTACAGTTAAGGTTAAGCGGCACGAGATCGTTGTATGACATAATAAAAGAAGTGTGTGTGATTAAAGTTTAGGTTAAGCGGCACGAGATCGTTGTATGACATAATAAAAGAAGTGTGTGTGATTACAGTTTAGGTTAAGCGGCACGAGATCGTTGTATGACATAATAAAAGAAGTGTGTGTGATTAAAGTTTAGGTTAAGCGGCACGAGATCGTTGTATGACATAATAAAAGAAGTGTGTTATTAAAGTTTAGGTTAAGCGGCACGAGATCGTTGTATGACATAATAAAAGAAGTGTGTGTGATTAAAGTTTAGGTTAAGTGGCACGAGATCGTTGTATGACATAATAAAAGAAGTGTGTGTGATTAAAGTTTAGGTTAAGCGGCACGAGATCGTTGTATGACATAATAAAAGAAGTGTGTGTGATTACAGTTAAGGTTTAGCGGCACGAGATCGTTGTATGACATAATTAAAGAAGTGTGTGTGATTACAGTTTAGGTTAAGCGGGACGAGATCGTTGTATGACATAATAAAAGAAGTGTGTGATTAAAGTTTAGGTTAAGCGGCACGAGATCATTGTATGACATAATAAAAGAAGTGTGTGTGATTAAAGTTTAGGTTAAGTGGCACGAGATCGTTGTATGACATAATAAAAGAAGTGTGTGTGATTAAAGTTTAGGTTAAGCGGCACGAGATCGTTGTATGACGTAATAAAAGAAGTGTGTGTGATTACAGTTAAGGTTTAGCGGCACGAGATCGTTGTATGACATAATAAAAGAAGTGTGTGTGATTACAGTTTAGGTTAAGCGGCACGAGATCGTTGTATGACATAATAAAAGAAGTGTGTGTGATTACAGTTAAGGTTTAGCGGCACGAGATCGTTGTATGACATAATAAAAGAAGTGTGTGTGATTACAGTTTAGGTTAAGCGGCACGAGATCGTTGTATGACATAATAAAAGAAGTGTGTGTGATTACAGTTTAGGTTAAGCGGCACGAGATCGTTGTATGACATAATAAAAGAAGTGTGTGTGATTAAAGTTTAGGTTAAGCGGCACGAGATCGTTGTATGACATAATAAAAGAAGTGTGTGATTACAGTTAAGGTTAAGCGGCACGAGATCGTTGTATGACATAATAAAAGAAGTGTGTGTGATTAAAGTTTAGGTTAAGCGGCACGAGATCGTTGTATGACATAATAAAAGAAGTGTGTGTGATTACAGTTTAGGTTAAGCGGCACGAGATCGTTGTATGACATAATAAAAGAAGTGTGTGTGATTAAAGTTTAGGTTAAGCGGCACGAGATCGTTGTATGACATAATAAAAGAAGTGTGTGTGATTACAGTTTAGGTTAAGCGGCACGAGATCGTTGTATGACAATAAAAGAAGTGTTTGTGATTAAAGTTTAGGTTAAGTGGCACGAGATCGTTGTATGACATAATAAAAGAAGTGTGTGTGATTAAAGTTTAGGTTAAGCGGCACGAGATCGTTGTATGACATAATAAAAGAAGTGTGTGTGATTAAAGTTTAGGTTAAGCGGGACGAGATCGTTGTATGACATAATAAAAGAAGTGTGTGTGATTAAAGTTTAGGTTAAGTGGCACGAGATCGTTGTATGACATAATAAAAGAAGTGTGTGTGATTAAAGTTTAGGTTAAGCGGCACGAGATCGTTTTATGACATAATGAAAGAAGTGTGTGTGATTAAAGTTTAGGTTAAGCGGCACGAGATCGTTGTATGACATAATAAAAGAAGTGTGTTATTAAAGTTTAGGTTAAGTGGCACGAGATCGTTGTATGACATAATAAAAGAAGTGTGTGTGATTAAAGTTTAGGTTAAGCGGCACGAGATCGTTTTATGACATAATAAAAGAAGTGTGTGTGATTAAAGTTTAGGTTAAGCGGGACGAGATCGTTGTATGACATAATAAAAGAAGTGTGTTATTAAAGTTTAGGTTAAGTGGCACGAGATCGTTTTATGACATAATAAAAGAAGTGTGTGTGATTAAAGTTTAGGTTAAGCGGCACGAGATCGTTGTATGACATAATAAAAGAAGTGTGTTATTAAAGTTTAGGTTAAGTGGCACGAGATCGTTGTATGACATAATAAAAGAAGTGTGTGTGATTAAAGTTTAGGTTAAGCGGCACGAGATCGTTTTATGACATAATAAAAGAAGTGTGTGTGATTAAAGTTTAGGTTAAGCGGGACGAGATCGTTGTATGACATAATAAAAGAAGTGTGTTATTAAAGTTTAGGTTAAGTGGCACGAGATCGTTGTATGACATAATAAAAGAAGTGTGTGTGATTAAAGTTTAGGTTAAGCGGCACGAGATCGTTTTATGACATAATAAAAGAAGTGTGTGTGATTAAAGTTTAGGTTAAGCGGCACGAGATCGTTGTATGACATAATAAAAGAAGTGTGTGTGATTACAGTTTAGGTTAAGCGGCACGAGATCGTTGTATGACATAATAAAAGAAGTGTGTGTGATTAAAGTTTAGGTTAAGCGGCACGAGATCGTTGTATGACATAATAAAAGAAGTGTTTGTGATTAAAGTTTAGGTTAAGTGGCACGAGATCGTTGTATGACATAATAAAAGAAGTGTGTGTGATTACAGTTTAGGTTAAGCGGCACGAGATCGTTGTATGACATAATCAAAGAAGTGTGTGTGATTAAAGTTTAGGTTAAGCGGCACGAGATCGTTGTATGACATAATTAAAGAAGTGTGTGTGATTACAGTTATTAAAGTTTAGGTTAAGTGGCACGAGATCGTTGTATGACATAATAAAAGAAGTGTGTGTGATTAAAGTTTAGGTTAAGCGGCACGAGATCGTTTTATGACATAATAAAAGAAGTGTGTGTGATTAAAGTTTAGGTTAAGCGGGACGAGATCGTTGTATGACATAATAAAAGAAGTGTGTTATTAAAGTTTAGGTTAAGTGGCACGAGATCGTTTTATGACATAATAAAAGAAGTGTGTGTGATTAAAGTTTAGGTTAAGCGGCACGAGATCGTTGTATGACATAATAAAAGAAGTGTGTTATTAAAGTTTAGGTTAAGTGGTGTCGTTGTATGACATAATAAAAGAAGTGTGTGTGATTAAAGTTTAGGTTAAGCGGCACGAGATCGTTTTATGACATAATAAAAGAAGTGTGTGTGATTAAAGTTTAGGTTAAGCGGGACGAGATCGTTGTATGACATAATAAAAGAAGTGTGTTATTAAAGTTTAGGTTAAGTGGCACGAGATCGTTGTATGACATAATAAAAGAAGTGTGTGTGATTAAAGTTTAGGTTAAGCGGCACGAGATCGTTTTATGACATAATAAAAGAAGTGTGTGTGATTAAAGTTTAGGTTAAGCGGCACGAGATCGTTGTATGACATAATAAAAGAAGTGTGTGTGATTACAGTTTAGGTTAAGCGGCACGAGATCGTTGTATGACATAATAAAAGAAGTGTGTGTGATTAAAGTTTAGGTTAAGCGGCACGAGATCGTTGTATGACATAATAAAAGAAGTGTGTGTGATTACAGTTTAGGTTAAGTGGCACGAGATCGTTGTATGACATAATAAAAGAAGTGTGTGTGATTACAGTTTAGGTTAAGCGGCACGAGATCGTTGTATGACATAATCAAAGAAGTGTGTGTGATTAAAGTTTAGGTTAAGCGGCACGAGATCGTTGTATGACATAATTAAAGAAGTGTGTGTGATTACAGTTTAGGTTAAGCGGCACGAGATCGTTGTATGACATAATTAAAGAAGTTTGTGTGATTACAGTTTAGGTTAAGCGGCACGAGATCGTTGTATGACATAATAAAAGAAATATGTGTGGACATTTTACAAATTTTTTTATAACCTAGCGTTAGCTAACACAAGTTCCTGAGGGTTCACTTATGCACCAATGTTGGTCTTCGTTTGAAAGGTGTTTCTATCGGAAACATAAAGAGGAGAGAGGATGATTTTACTCGTTCATTTATTTTCACCTTAAGATTTTATTTGTTGGTTTGCCAAAAACTTGCGATATATTTATTCTCGAATATTTTGACGTTCAAGACATCGCTTGATCGGTTTGGTAAGATTAATGTTCTTGTGAAATAACAGATAAATCACCGTGAATCCCTCTCCTCCTTATCATCAAAACTCTACTTCACCTACTGCGTCCCTAGAAGGTCTTGAGTTGTGGGCCTGTCTGAGTTAATTATTTGTTACTTTATTAATGTAGTGACGTATTCAAGTTTTCACTCAAGGGAAATTAAAAATTTATACTAACTGAAATTCTCTGTCAAGTTACTATTTGCGGATTGATACGAATTCGCGCTCTGACACAGTCACGAATTTCTGATTTTTGTGGTTGGTTTTATGATTTTTCTTTACCTGGAGTAACAAGAAATCAGTTCTATATTGTGAGGAAAGGGAGGGAATAAATACACTTTTCGTTCATTTTATCTACGGACATTTAGTACAGATTTTGACATTTGGTTTGGCGTCTCTAAGTAAAGGGACTTAACAGGTGACAGCTGTCCTCCTGAATCTTCAATCACCATGCTTGTTGTCAAAGGCCAGTGATTGCATATCATAGGATTATATGCGTATCCAGAGCTGTGAACTACATATTTCGCATTTGTTCTCTTACAGAAAGTGTGTGTATCCACTCGGTTTGTGTGACGGAGATACGGAGAAGACAGGTAAGTTGCAAAGAGTTATCTCCCTTCCAATATATAGTAAATTAAAATTCACACATGGTGGCAGCTTAACCGCTCCCATGTCAATCGTCATCAATTTAAGGAACATATATATCTTTTGGATAGTGATATTTTTCATCTATTTTTAGGGTATCGCATCAAGAATGTTAGACTGGTACACCGATACCATGAAGACAACTGAATTTGATGTAAAGCGTATTCTACTGATCGCTCACTCTAAGCTCATTCCTCTTTACACACGGGCTGGCTTTACCTTCAAATGCAAGTCTGACATTGTTCATGGTAAGTTTTCAGCTCCGCGATACTTATAAGCATGCTTTATTTCTTATTATTCTTATAATTTCTTTAACATTTGCACTGGGATATTGTACAGAAGACATACAAGTGCGGTAATACAGCATCGTTTGAGATAATTTCAATTATCATTATTTTAGAAAAGCATTTACTTAGTACACAAAACAATCCATTGTTCATAACATTTTCCGGTGTTGATTCATGATATTCATTATATTGATACTTTAACCATTAATCACATGTTAATGTCTACACACATTTTTAATTGTTTACTCAGCAATGTTTTTAATACAGCATCGTTTTAGATAATTTCAATGATCATTATTTTAGAAAAGCATTTACTTAGAACAACATTTTCATATCCATCTTTCATTATGATAGATGTTAATGGCACTGTTCAGAATATACACATATACCTGACATTCTTTTGTAATAATTCATTATGCATTATCAATGAGCTTATAAGGACTGCAATACCTGTTTATGTCTTTTTTTGGTAATTCATTTTGACAATTTTCGATTTTCCTCAGCCGTTACCTAGATTGTACCAATTAAAGCCCATAACATCTCTTACGGGTTAAGGAACGATGAAACAGTTGTATGACACAGCTTAATCATCCATAACTTGGCACTACTGTATCTCTTTCTAAATGTGTATTAAAAGATTTTATTCTTTTGTGTCGCATTTGTACCAGAATGCGTCCTGCAGTGTTAAAACACTATAATTATTGTTACTAATCGTAAAAAAGGAGATCGGTCACGCATAAAAAAATCACTTACAGAAAATATGGTCGACTTTCAATTTTTATTCCAGGTAGGGAAACATGGTACGAGATGGAGATGCTTGTATAAGCCAGGAAATAACGACAAATGGGAACTCTCTCAAGGATGAAATATAATGGGTCCGGAAGTATGACCGCCTCCAGGGAGCAATAACGATATGATTCCTTACAAAAAAATATTCCATACAGGAAATAAACCCTTTCTAGACTTTAGTCCTATGACATGATTCACAAGAAGTTAATTCAAGAACATACGCCGGAAGTGGATTTTGAAACGAGGCCCATGAAAGCATACTTCCAGACAGTGTGATAAGAATATTTGCATTTATTCAACATTTCAGTTCATTCAAGTAAAACGGATAGAAATACTTAGCCTCTAAAATAAAAATACAAAAGGTGATAAATAATATCCTGAGATTTTTCTGTTCCCTGAATAAGTAATGCAATTTACAGGATATACACAATTTTGGTCCTGTTGAAAACAAAATGAAAGGAGTTTTAAGTTAGCTAGATGTGGACGTAAAATGATGTAGGATTGAATTTTTATATATTTGTTAACTTTTAAAAAGGAGGCTGCAGTGGATGAAAAAAAACGAATGAGAGTGTGACAGTCAATGTGAAAGGAAGTTCTGCGGCTGCGCGTCTGTGATAAAAGTGCTTTATTGTAATCGAATGGTATTTTGTATGGGTTCTTTATCTGTTTTGAATGTCAAATGTGCAAGTGTTACTGTTTCTTGCGGGCTAAGATTAGATCAAATGATGTTACTAATAGGTATTTAAAATTTGTATGTGTAAGTTATTACTTCCATTGTAATTTAATTGATTAATTTTGAAAATATCATTTTTGAGTGTAAGTACGTATTGCCAGCTGTTAATGTCTTAACATTGCTTGTATAAGGTGTTACATGTGATAATCTTAAATTAGAAATTATTTAAGAATTTTTATCAGACATCAACATATGTAATTTTGAATTCCTGCTTTAATTAGTACTGAATGCTAGGCACCCTAGTAGTATTTGTTAATGTCGGTTAATGGAAGATAAGGAAACTGTATCTAACTTAATTTTTTTGTTTCCGGTTGCAAATTAAACTACATATATTTTTTTGACTTATTCTATGGAGGAATAAATCAATGTATTTTGTTGCAATAATACGCTCATATATTTTTCAAAATGACGAAGAGATTCTGCAGGTATGACAGTGTTTCTCCATGCCCCGAATAAATAAATAAAATTATTTAATAGAATAATGAACTACATGTCATATATTACTATTGTATGGTTGGATACCTATATATTGAATGAGAGTAAATGTTTTATTATTTATAATTAAATTGCAATACTTTTTGAAATAAATTTATGCATCTATCAAGTATCTGCTTTGTGTTATATGAGATTATGTGACGAGACCTGAGCTAGAAAGATATCTTGTGTTAATAGTATTGATAAATTGCTTTTGTATTCTTTTGTTAGGTCGGGATGATCTAAAGCTCTCGTAATTTTGTTAATTCATTTTCATTTGTTGAATTTAAATCGCGCTTTCCTGAAATGATTTTGTGAGAGACCCTACCAAGTGTTATTGTGGCCACCGTCTTCAAATAACACATTTTAAATTCTCTAGTGCCACTGATGCAATTTTGTAAAGCAAATCTGCTTGACATCTTGATCGCGTATGGTTGTTAAGATATTCCAGAAGAATTTTGGCATGGGAACTAACTGTTGTTAGCTGTTGGCTGACTTGTTCTCACACGAGGCTGCACTGATTGAAGAGCGTATCAAAACAGGTTATAAAGACTTTGCAAATTCGCTTAAATTTCCTTTTAATACAATGATGACGTGTTGTCTGTAAGTAATAAGATACATTTTAACCACGTCCGTCATATATACTCACCAGAGTGAGAAATCAAGTAAACGACAGACTCTTCTATATCAGCCATTTATTTAGAACGTTTCATACAACGAAACTAACATGGACAGCTTTATACCAAGCTGTATGACAAGCACGATTTCCATATTGTGAATTTTCCATTTCTTGATAACAATATCCCTGCATTCCCAACCTTATGGTATTTACATTTCAAAGTTGATATGACAACACGTTTCCATTATCACGAAATTCGTACAAGAATTCGTCATCTGACGGTAAAACTCGTAGCACAGGGTCATTACAGTGATCTCATTTAGACAAATTCTTTTTCTTTCTGCGATAGGGAGCTTGATGTGTTTGAGTTTGTATTATTATTATGATGACAAATTGGTATTTTCTGGTTACTAATGAAGTGGAGTAATTCCCCTTTATCTGTTGTGTTTGATTACTATGAGAACAATGTATGTTTATAGGTGCAAATATTTAGTTATTGTTCTGAACAAATTCACGTATTTTTTGTAACTTAAATCGAAATTTAAAAGGGGACATTGAAAAATCCATCTTAGGTATCTGTTGTGTTATATTTTGTATTAAACACGCAACTGATGTTTGTAGAAAAGACAATTACCAGTAAACTGACACAATCACCATGATGTGATGACGACAGAAAAAGGTTAATACCACAGCGCTCAAACATCAACCGATGAAAAGTAAAATGGTAAGTGACAAAGATGTTTACACTTTTTAATGGGTTTTATACTAGGTCCTGTTGTTAGTGCTTTCGTGAGGTAATATGGATGCCGAAGGGTGACCGCAATTGGCGATGTGATCGTCAGCATCAAACCCTTCCTGTCTTCATTTTCACCAAACCTGGATGATTATATTTCAGAGCATCTCAGGAGGTATCCAATTGTTTGGAAAATATTTGTAGTAGTATCATGGCTACTTTTATTGCTTTTTTCATGTCAAAATCACAAAAAAAAAAAAAAAAAAAATCCAGGAGTTTCTGGTTACATATTTACATAGACAAGAGTTAAAGAAGAAACACGTATGTCACATGTATAGATTAAGAGGAATGTATCTTTATATCAATGGATTTTCACATTGTCGAACAAATGACACACAAACAATTCTGATTCAAATTTAGAATTAGATACAGCAATACCAAATAAGGAATTAAACTCTATCCACAACTGTATCTTACTTCAAGGGGATGTTCGCAGTTTCAAAACCATCAAACATTTTTCACGAGAATTACTTTTGTATTTTAAATAATTGTATTACATCTGATTCCTTGAAATATATATACTATATTAGTTTAGATTAAACACAATGATTATATATATATAATAAACACTAAATAATGTCAATATGAACGATACTAATCATACTAAATACTAAAATATGTCATTAATATCTACAAATATAAGGCTAGGTATATTTCAGAGAATATATAGACGTGGATTAGATATGACACATTATTTGTACTAATACTATCAGCTCAAGAATAACTTGTAATTTGCAGTGTAGACATAATTAATCATCATGATCAACTGATTATTTAAAGTTCCAATGAACTGTCACAAAGATATAACAGTATTAGGAGTCCCAAATATATAACATCTTTAAATCTCTTGCCACTAAAGGAATTGATGTATAGGATAAAAAATACATTATCACTTCTAGTGATGAAATAAGAAATTTTAAGCGCTATAACGTCGATATGTTTAACCGATCAGAGCAATGCTTTCTAGTCACTACATAAGTTTTCTTTCAACTGTTCGCTTTATTGATGTAATAAACAAGAAAACTAGTTCAATCATTTTTGTATTTAATATCCGTTTTACGGTATGTAAGATATTCTCGAATTCAGGACAACCCATTCTTTATAATAAACGTATCATGTCTCATGTCAGTATCGTTTGTCGTATACTGTAATTCCTATACATTGTAATATATGTTAAGTGTTAAGGAGAGTTTCTGCACCCTGACAAGTGTTAGGAAATGTATGCAAAGTGCCTTTAAAACTTGTACAAAAAGTATAAGATCATGTGTTTTTTCACGTTTACCACAGCGAAACCAGCAGGCTTACTATTGTATAGTTGGAAATATTCTCGGGGGAATTAATTTCGATCTATTCGTGATCATCAAAGTTAGTGCGAAATTTAAAACCAAGCAAACACCAGTCGAATTATAAGGTATCATAAGCTTGTACAGATGTATGCCATTGTAGAGTCAAATGCGAAATTAATTCTCGTGAACTAGCTTGAATCGGGACGCCCGCGAAATTTTAGTAACTTAATATGGAAATACACATATATGTCGCAATGTGCACATGCAATACTGTGGGCAGGAGTGATGAACCTAAGTATAAATTGTGTATTGAACACCAAAAAGCTGCGATTAACCGCAGATTTACACACTTAATGACGTTATATGCATTTTATTTTAAGTCATTAAAGAAAACTGTTTCATGAGAGTACAAATTTAAGTATGCTATCTGTCTTGTTAAAAATTATCTCAAAGGAAACATATTGGTATTTCAAGGGAGACTACTCCAATGAGATCTAAATGGTTTTAGAATCAGGATTTTAGATGGAAATGTGGATTTTCTTCTCATTCCAATACATTTCAAAACAATGAATCAATAAATTGTTTAACAAAATTTCAATTTTTATTTTGATTGATAAAGTATAAAAACCTGAACAGAGGCTTTGTTTAATTTCCTATTGTTTACAAGTAGTATTGTATTGTGTAATTTGTTTTCTTTCCGGTAATCATGTTATACTAATTATGTCTCTAGTAATGTATTGACGATATTAATGATGCAGTTTTAGTTGTTTTCTATTGTTATTGTCCCTAATATGGTTATTCAAAATAAAATAATCGGTGGTATATGATCATTGTGCCCTTTATTTAGTATGTATTGTTATTTTATCGGAAAGTAACTACACGATAAAAATAAATAATCTTAGATCTTTAGCAACGACATATTAACAGCGAAATTGGCTGATGTGGATAGTACAAATCTAGTTCGTGTCGAGTTGATAGACGTCATCTCACTGAAGTCTACTCCATTCATTTAGTGTCCTCTTGCGCACTCTTGAAAGATACCAAAATATTAACACACTCACAAAGTCTATTTGCTATAATTGGATATACTCTATTGATTTATATTTTGTCCATGAAATATAAGAAAATACTGGGACTGATTTTAATTCTGTTCTGGTGAATACATACAAAATGTACCTCTTTTATGTTTGAAATACATTTTCTATTCACTTTTTTGTAATTTACAAATTTGCGGTTACATTCCCCAGACGTTTGTTGTGTGAACCGTTTTCAAGTACAATACAAAACAAAACAACAATCTTTTATGTCGAATTTTTCAAACATCGACAAACATACGTAACACGACTAAAATTCATACAGAATAACATTTAAACAATATCATACAATTACAGCTAAGGAATAAATAAAATGAGTGCTCTATAAATGATCACAGACAATACATAAACACCGCAGTACTGGAGCATAACACAGAGGAATATATCATGTCTCTGGATATAACAACACGATGAAAACAAAACGGTAAGGAAGCCAGGCCCTCAGCGCATACAGAACGTACAAAAAGGATCAAAGTTGAAAAATCATAGTCACAATAATAATGTTATGTAATGTTAATATCAGATGGCGATAACACTGTTCAAGGAATGCAACCGCCTCCTGATTATACTGTACTTTTCTACCTCTCTGATATTTTGGAGAGACTCTTCCATAAATTGGCGGCTTTCTGCCTGAAGGAATTTAGACCAAAATTGTAACGTTTACCCTTGGTACACTAAATATTTAGTAAAAATATCACCTAATCTTTTTAAAACAAGTTGCTTTACCCTTGGTAACACTAAATATATTAGTAATTTTCTTTAGTACATTAAATTTTGTTTTTGGCAGATAGATTGAAATATGTTAGGGTCCGCCTCCATAAAGTTTTGTTTTTGAATCCTATTAAAAGTACATTTTCATTATTCTCTATAAAAAAGTGCGATCATGATTTTTAAAAGACACAGCATCGTCATCAGCATAGTTGTATGAAATAATTTTGTTGACAACACCATAAATATTCTTAAGTTAAGTATGAAAAATCATGGATCCTAGAATTGACCCTTGTGGTACTCCCTTAAAAATGCTAAGAACAATTACTGGAATTCTGACTCAGTCAGATCTGCAGTTTTTCTGTTCCTACGGTCCGGTGTCCCCTTTGATATACTGTATGCTTCCAACTTAGCTATCAATAGATAGTGAGGCAAGCAATCGAAAGCGTCTGATAAATCCACCAGGATTGCACTTACACATTACCCGTTATCAAGATATCCTTTCCAGTCTTCATTAAGTCGTAGTTAACTGGATCGACAGTTTGTCATGTGTGACTCTTCCAAACCATGTGATATTTTTGGTAAAATACTGAGAGATCTTTAAAATTTTACTGTACTCTGACAGAAATGGAATCAGTGGTTTCTTTAAGTGTAATTTCGAGGTTTTATACCATTTATAACAGCATAGATTGTCGTTTGAGTATAGTCTATTTCCCAATTTTACCCTGTAATGGAAAGATTGCGTTATATACAGCTATTGAAGTATCCAAAGACGGGCTTCACTACAAAATTCGACATATTAAAGAACTGACAGAATGAAGACTATGTAACCTGAAATCATTGCACCAGGTTTATCCTCTTGTTATTGTGGTTATTAGACCATGTCAAGCACACAAATATGTCATACAACCCGTTCGCTCAAGTTAACATTTTTGTCAGTATAAATATATATATACAACATAGCTTAATTTTTTGTGTGTCAACAGTTTCGCGATTTTATTTCAAAACGATCAAACTACATTGCACACGGATCAAATTTTCGCGATCTAGATGTAAAAGGTCATCCAATAAACACTATTCTTGTTATTTCACGGATGAACGTTTTGCAATCACGTGATATCACGAAAATAAACGGCTATACGACAGTAAATATATATCATTATCTTCTATACCAGAAATATATATTGTAAAAACAAGAAATGAAACTGTACTGAATACCACATCACTAAAATAATGACACCCGAGAATTGTCCTTATCACTGACAGAATAACGAGAAGATTACATGTTTCAGAAATTTTGGTAAAACGCCAATAACCAAACTAACTATACTTACACGACAGGTAAAAACGTCGGCTCCTCTCTAATTTCTGTCTGGTATAACGTGACCCTGTTACCAGTTTACATGTTAAGAAACTGTTTTGTGTTGCAAAGTCGACGATCGTGTGTTCCGTCATTCATCAGGAAAATCTGGAACATTTCTGGAAAAAAGTAAGTGTTTATCTATTAACCTATGGAACATTTAAGCATTGAAATGTCCTGTCTTCAAAAGTTATTTTATACTGGCATGCAGCCCCTATGTCAAATATACTGAAATAGGTTATTAAACATTCCATTTGAATAGCAAATGTAGAGCGTCAAGCAGGAATAATTTTACATCACGAAGAGGGCTTTATTTGATGGTCTTAGACCATGTAATCAAATCTATTTAATCAAATGTTTATGAAATGATCATTATAAAATAAAAATACTGACAAAATCAAATTTCGGAGCCAACAGTTATATTTATACGTGGTTATGTTGATCAGGAAAATGAAAAAGCTGTCCAAATCTGGGGCTGTATGTGTAGATCCTATCTCATATAACGTTCCAGACGGAGGATGGGGATGGGCTGTCACCTTCTCGTCTTTCATGGTCAATGTATTCATAGACGGAGTGATTTATACATTTGGAATTTTCTTTCCGGAACTCCTCAGATATTTTGGAGAAAGTAAAGGAAAGACACAGCTATTGCACTCCATTCTTGTTGGAACTCTTTTTTTTGTTGGTGAGCTTTAACAATTTTTCTCAACATTTTTTTTGGAATAATCACCATATATTAAATGAAATTATATTTTGTCCTTCAACACTCGAATAAGAAATAAGTCTATAGACGGACGGACAAACATACAGACATACAGACAACCAGACAGACTTTCAACTTCGATCATCAATCACAATCGATATATCAGGATCAAAATGATGGAGAGTAAAACGATAAAATTGTAATAACAATTTCTCAGTATCTAATGAACTTGTATCCTAGGTCCTGTAGCTAGTGCGCTAGTGACCAAATATGGCTGCCGACGGGTTACCGAAAGTGGATCAGTGATTGTCAGCGTCGGGCTCTTCCTGTCTTCATTTTCACAAAACCTGGATGTGATGATCCTTTGTTACAGCATCATAGGAGGTATCGTTGATATCTTTTAAAAGTGAATTTGTATAAGATAAACAATACATCTTATGCCTATATAAACTTTTTCTCTTTTACTAAAATTACAAAAACTTCACAGAAACCATGGGTTCATATAAAAAAATAAGAAAGAAAAGAATTCACATCTTTTCATCTGTGTTAAATATATGGATAAATATATCATTTGTACCAATAGTCACTTTTAATTTCAAGAGGCAAGATATATTGGGTCTGGTATGATATCGACCAATAAATTTTCGTAATTATCATTATCTCCAAGGAAATATAATTTTCCAAAGCAATATTTCCCCGATTAGTGAAATAAAATCGAACATGTAATAGCATCAGACCCGTAACCGTCTGATATTGAGCACACTCGGCCTTTTAGTGTATGCAGATAGAACTAAGGTTGAGTATCCATTTCAAAATCGTTAATCTACTGTCCGAGGACCTCTCGGCCTCCCTTCGCCTTCCGTTCGGTCTCCCTTCGCCTACCGTTCGGTCCTGTCCGATTTACGAAAACCGGGCGTTTCGTTCTTTTTTTTTCCGGTCGGGCCTGTCTTCGGTCGTCTGGATGCCACTCATGCACAACATTATTAAAAGAGATTTTTTTCATATGTCAGGATTAATATTTAACATTACAGCTGCTGGTGAAGACACCTGTATTACAAATACTTACCCGTCGAAGCTTCATCTCAACAGCCAGTATATCAAAGTTGTAAAAATGTCCACGGCAGCTGTATCAGAGGGTAGAATAAGCACCTTTTCTAATTTATAACTTGGTAGTCTACCAGGAATAGGCAATGCATTGTCTTTAGCATCGTTGGTCACAAATGTCTTGATATACTGTCTGTCATTCATAGACATTGCATAATGTGGAGCTTTCCCAGAATTTCCATGCTTTCTCTTGGTATCAAGTCATATGTATCCAGCAATTTAGAAATTGCCTGTAACTTGGTTTTGCTGATATCATCATGTATAAAGCAAAATGGTGTTCTACAAACACGGATTCCATGAAAATAAAACTCTTGATATTGTCGTCCCCTCTGTTATAGTTTGTGTTTCTTTGACTGGATATGATCACTGTATCTACGATGACAGTTCAGTCTTAATTGTAAGAACGTGTTCATCACGTGTTAATTGGTGACAATGCAACCTGGACGAGCGCGACATGCAAAGAATGGCTAAAACAACCAAAATACAATATGTACAAGTTTATTACACTATATACACATAACAAGATATATCTCCTAACATGATTAAGCACACCTTACTCACTCACTCATAAACACCCTCACACTATAATTATATAGAAATATATAATACAGTCTATACAGCCAAGCATCTAGACATGTCTCATGGTAAAGATTCTGAAAACGTCTCTGGACGACCGGCTCATACAGCGTTACAACAGTCAGCAAATGTCCACAGGATTGAACAAATGTCCTCCCTGTTAACAGATTCAATGACGACACCAAGTACTGTCCACAAAGGACATCTCAATAAATGTCTACACAGGATATCTCAGGACTGCCCACACAAGACATCTTCATAATTGTCCACACAGGACGGCATATACAGCTGATAGGTCTGTCTACACAGGACATGGTATCAAGCTACACTGCCTTGCCCACACAGTACGTTAGCAACAGCTATCTTGGCCCACATACGACACAAACATGAACCATCTCTGTACCAGTAGTATCATCATCGTCCTCACCAACATCATGGGGTAGAACTTTAATTACATAATATAACCATGTCTAACCAAATATCCCATTCCTATTACTAAGCTATACATATATTAATTTAGTATCTCATTATATGCACAAATATTCTTTTATTACAACCATATAATACCGTCTGTAGCTAATTAACTGATATAATTCCATTAGCAAATTCTAGCCTTAATTTCAAGTTTCTGATAAATAAACTGACTATTTCTGCTTGTAATAACTAAATATATAATCCAATTCACATATTAGTTATTCTAAACCCATCACATATGTATCTTGAACTGTACTCATCGGCCGTTATAAGCATATGCATGTATCTCTTAATATTCGGCCCAAATACCAAACACAACAGATTCCGGGTAAACATTGGAATATAAGGGTGTTATAAAGGTTTACAAACTTACCGCAGACTGTATTTTGCGCTGGCTTACCCCATACAAGCAATTATCGACCTGCCGAAATCTATACCAATGCTCTCGCTTACATGTACATTTCCTTTCTCACGAGACTAAATTCAAATATTAAGAACTCGGATCCGGAGAATCCGTAATTAAATCTTTTACATGGAATTATTAAGAAAAATAGATAGACAGTATTTAGTTTAGATATTATCGAAATGATTTCATTAAATACATGTACGAAATGTTCAGAATAACTGGGATATTATTTCATACATATAAACAGATAAAATGTACAAAATTATGGTTGGGACTGTGACAATGTAAATTATGGTTGGGACTGTGACAATGTAAATTATGGTTGGGACTGTGACAATGTAAATTATGGTTGGGACTGTGACAATGTAAATTATGGTTGGGACTGTGACAATGTAAATTATGGTTGGGACTGTGACAATGTAAATTATGGTTGGGACTGTGACAATGTAAATTATGGTTGGGACTGTGACAATGTAAATTATGGTTGGGACTGTGACAATGTAAATTATGGTTGGGACTGTGACAATGTAAATTATGGTTGGGACTGTGACAATGTAAATTATGGTTGGGACTGTGACAATGTAAATTATGGTTGGGACTGTGACAATGTAAATTATGGTTGGGACTGTGACAATGTAAATTATGGTTGGGACTGTGACAATGTAAATTATGGTTGGGACTGTGACAATGTAAATTATGGTTGGGACTGTGACAATGTAAATTATGGTTGGGACTGTGACAATGTAAATTATGGTTGGGACTGTGACAATGTAAATTATGGTTGGGACTGTGACAATGTAAATTATGGTTGGGACTGTGACAATGTAAATTATGGTTGGGACTGTGACAATGTAAATTATGGTTGGGACTGTGACAATGTAAATTATGGTTGGGACTGTGACAATGTAAATTATGGTTGGGACTGTGACAATGTAAATTATGGTTGGGACTGTGACAATGTAAATTATGGTTGGGACTGTGACAATGTAAATTATGGTTGGGACTGTGACAATGTAAATTATGGACTGTGACAATGTAAATTATGTGACAATGTAAATTATGGTTGGGACTGTGACAATGTAAATTATGGTTGGGACTGTGACAATGTAAATTATGGTTGGGACTGTGACAATGTAAATTATGGTTGGGACTGTGACAATGTAAATTATGGTTGGGACTGTGACAATGTAAATTATGGTTGGGACTGTGACAATGTAAATTATGGTTGGGACTGTGACAATGTAAATTATGGTTGGGACTGTGACAATGTAAATTATGGTTGGGACTGTGACAATGTAAATTATGGTTGGGACTGTGACAATGTAAATTATGGTTGGGACTGTGACAATGTAAATTATGGTTGGGACTGTGACAATGTAAATTATGGTTGGGACTGTGACAATGTAAATTATGGTTGGGACTGTGACAATGTAAATTATGGTTGGGACTGTGACAATGTAAATTATGGTTGGGACTGTGACAATGTAAATTATGGTTGGGACTGTGACAATGTAAATTATGGTTGGGACTGTGGGACTGTGACAATGTAAATTATGGTTGGGACTGTGACAATGTAAATTATGGTTGGGACTGTGACAATGTAAATTATGGTTGGGACTGTGACAATGTAAATTATGGTTGGGACTGTGACAATGTAAATTATGGTTGGGACTGTGACAATGTAAATTATGGTTGGGACTGTGACAATGTAAATTATGGTTGGGACTGTGACAATGTAAATTATGGTTGGGACTGTGACAATGTAAATTATGGTTGGGACTGTGACAATGTAAATTATGGTTGGGACTGTGACAATGTAAATTATGGTTGGGACTGTGACAATGTAAATTATGGTTGGGACTGTGACAATGTAAATTATGGTTGGGACTGTGACAATGTAAATTATGGTTGGGACTGTGACAATGTAAATTATGGTTGGGACTGTGACAATGTAAATTATGGTTGGGACTGTGACAATGTAAATTATGGTTGGGACTGTGACAATGTAAATTATGGTTGGGACTGTGACAATGTAAATTATGGTTGGGACTGTGACAATGTAAATTATGGTTGGGACTGTGACAATGTAAATTATGGTTGGGACTGTGACAATGTTCTCTTAATTCGAAAGCAGAGTAGTGGAATTACATGGAGCGAAAACACACCCGGAGCATAACATTTACAGCGGAGTTGTGTATTCTAGGGACTAATATATTCTTTCTCTATTAACCTTGAATTATTTTTGGTATAATCGCCAGGAGTAAAACGTTCTTAAAATTATTTTATAGACATTTCAAGTATTTTCAAACATCTATTATAAATAAAACAACAAAGAAAATGCCGACATGTTAAGAGATTATTCATTCAGACATATAAGTAATTAAACTAGGGCAGAATATTAACAGGTGTGTAAATAGAAATGCGTCATTTTTGTTTTCTCATATCCTATTTTATAGGTATTGGTTTCGGCCTGTTTTATTTACCCTCCATCGTAATAATTGGTGAATATTTCGACAAACGAAGATCATTGGCCACAGGACTTGCAGTTTGCGGAGTTGGAACCTTTGTATTTGCACCTATCACAGAATACTTTTTGGAAACATACATGTGGCGAGGAACACTGTGGATTATGTCAGCAATTATACTCAATGGTATTATTGTCTCCACTACCTATAGACCTCTACAAACGGATGTGAACAGGAACACAACAAAACGTAGTGAAGTCGATAGCAAGCCTAATCAAGATGATACAACAAGGAATTCCAGCACCTGTTGCCAACAAATATGTTCATCAATTAATGCCACGTTGGACCTTTCACTACTCAAAAGTCCAACTATGTTGTTGTATGGAGCGTCATGTTTTTTCGTCATGTTTGGTATGATTTATAATCTGATAACTCGAACTGATCTCTGAACTCTTCTTTTCAGAGTTGTAACAAACATTTAGAATTCTAAATTATCATGCCAGTTCATAAATTACACTGCATCCTTTAACGGTTTTGTCCTTTTTGATTTTTTGGCTCAAATTCGCATTTTCTATTGTCAATAAAATATTACTTTTAATTTTCAGGATATTTCGTTCCGTCAAATTTTCTGCCTGCATGGGCTAGTGAGGTCAATCTGTCCACAGCTCAAGGAACATTCCTCATTTCGTTAATGGGCGTGTCCAACACTATTACACGTGTTTTGGTTGGCTACATAACGGACAGACCATGGGCCAATTGCTTGATCATTTACAGCACTGCGCTACTGATTGGTGGAATGTCGACGTGTTTTGTGCCATTTTTTATCACATATGAGATTCTTGTCATATACGCGATCATATTTGGAGCAGTAAAGGGTAAGCAGTCTGATATGTGAAGTATTCTGAATATGAAATCAAATCTCCCGAAATACTGATAGATTGGTATAACTAATATGCAATCTTATATTGATAATGCTATCAGAATTTTATCAGTTCACTTTTCTAAATAGCTCAACCTTGAAGTTCATTAATTTGAGAAAAATCATCAAATATGTGTTATGAATTAATCCATACAGGATTTATTTTGCTATTAAAGAGCAAGAACTTAAATGCATAAGCAAGTAAAATATTCGTTTTGTAATCACGCTAAAAACAGCAAATATCACTGTAATAGGTGATCCCATCTATATTCATGATATTAAGCTTGCTTATCATTTTATCCTTTACTTCCTTCAAATATCATTTCGGCTGTTAAATACAATGACTATAGCTATTTCACTCACGTATTTATCAGGATAATAACTTAATAATGTCAAATTAACTGATTATTATTACACTAATGACATCGGAGTTTTCTCTTACCTTTATTGTTAAACTATACTTACAGCAGTCTTTTTCTGTCTGAGAAGTATACTGATGGCTGAACTATTGGGGATACACAGACTCAACAGTTCGTTTGGTTTAGCAGGACTTTGCATGGGACTGTCTACTTATGTTGGATCGCCTATTGCAGGTAAATTGTGGTAAAGTGTATATAAGCGTTTATGGATGTTTGCATCCCAATTTCAGCAGAGAAAAATTCGGTGGATTTTTTTCAAGGGTTCCATGTCTTTTGGTTTGTTTCATCTGTTGTTGTTCTGGGTTGGTCACCTTATTATGCTTTCTTCTAGGTTTTTTTTTCTTTTGATAATTTTTTTTATTAAATATCGACGCATCACATTACATACAACTTCCTTCATCTAGACAGAAAAATGTTGAAAAACAACTTGAAATTTCAGTCCGATCTCAGAAATTCTATGGTTTATTCATTTTTTTCTAAGATTGTGAAAAAGACACACAAGTGAATACCACATTTTCGTAATATTTGAGTGAGATACGGTAGAACTAAACAATGAATTAAACTTCATCATACAGCTGTTTCATCATTCCAGGACTCGTCAGTGATGTAGAGGCCCTAAAATTTGAAGTCTTGGAGGCGACTGAGGAAAATTCTAAATGATCAAAAGAAAAGTAGACATCTAGTCGGGGAGATGCTCCATAACTAGATAAATCTTGTAATTTTCATACATCATATGTTTTTGGAAAAGCGTCAAGTACATATGTATTTTCTGAGCCTTGCCACTATTCGGGTGAAATTAATCGTGGTTACGGCAACCCCGGGGATTTTAAGTCCATCAGCAGTGTCTAACACCTGTTATCTAAGACTGTACAAAAGACATAGACATGAATAGCACCTTTTCATCATTTAGAGTGAGATACAGTAGAACCAAACAAATAGATAACTTGCTTGATGCAACTGTTTTGTCCTTCTATGACTGAACATTTTAATTTTTGTTATGTTTGTTTTTTGTTGATAATAAATGTAAATCACGTGTCAATTTTTTTTCAAATTATTGGTTATTCTTTTGTTTTCTGCGTTTTGTAAGGGCTACTTTCGGGAAATGTTCTTTAGTGATCAGGTAAATGAAATGTGTTATTTTTTCTTATAAAAGACACGATTGTGAATTCTATGCAGTGCTATAATGTTATTTGAATTGATATTTTTCAGGAGCATTGTCTGATATGAGTGGAAACTATAACATGGCTTTCTACTTTGGTGGAATCAGTCTCGGGATTGGAGGCTTACTTTGTTTACCACTAAGACGGATTTCAGTATGGGAGAAGGGAAGAATTGATGATTTAAATAAAGAAAATACCGGGCAATGGAGATAAAAAACCTGTTATTATCGTCTACAAATATGAGGCCATCTTTACATGCTATTTCAGAGGAGGGATAAATGTCAAAATGGTTTTGAATATGACGGATAATTGATATTACTGTTATCAACTCAACAGTCACGTGATCATTTTTAAACGTTCTTACAATGAAGACATATTTGTCGGACAGTGATCTGATGTCGTAAAACGATATAGGTTTAAGGGTCACAAATATATCAATATTTATAACACTTTTCCTAGTGAAATATAAGAATTTATCGCATTGATGAAATCATGAATGCTAGTGTCTATAAAAGACATCTTATGTGGTACAAGAGCAGTGCTTTCTAGGCACTGCATTTCAACAGTGAAAATGGCAGCATCACCACCTAAAGCAGCCAATTCAAAATGTCGTTTTGTTGGCCATTGCAACGTCAAACTATTTGATGTCAAATAAAAGTTTATTATTTTTAGAAATGTTTTAAACACTTGCTTATTGAATGCTTTGAAAGTTTTCCCTCCAACTGTTTCCGCTTTAAAAGTATAATACAAAGGAAACTATTCAGATAATTTATGTATCAAATAACGGTTTAACGGTATGGCAAATATTCTTGAATCGGAGGACGGACAATTTTTATAATAAACGTGTGGTATCTTACGGCAGTAACATTTGCCGGGTATTGTAATTCCGATGGGTAATGTATTAAGTAGTAATGGTAGGCTCTAGTATTGTCGTCTGTAACCTGAGTGATGTAAGAAAAAATTGGCAACGGATCATCAAAAATGACAAAATGAACTAGAAATTGTTGTGAACAATTTGGCGGGCTTTTCACTTCTTTGGCGACAAGTTGACCGGAAGTTGACATGTATCCTGATAACGATATATGAGAAAGATTCCTTGTTTGTTAGTCTCTACAACATATCCAAAGATGAACTTTGAATCTTGAAACATTTAGGTGATATAACTACATAATAACGAAGAAATACACTTTTTAAAGGTTCAAATATATTTGACCCCTGTGACCTTGAATGTTGGTCAAGGTCATATTTGCAAGCCTTATAATGTAACATCTGATGATCAATATATCCCTAATATTAGTTCTCTAGACCTTGTGAAACTTGACAAGAAGATTGTTGAACACTGGTACCCTATTTTGTATATTTGAACCCATTTCAGAAACCGGAAGTTGACATTTTGAGGGAAGTTTTCCTTATGACAATCACTAGGAAGTGTCCACAGAAGGTTTATAATCAATTTTCATCAATGTATGCCTTCTAGAAATTGAGAAACTTTCATTTAACGATTTTAAGTTAATTGACGTCTGTGACCTTGAAAGTGGGTTAAGGTCATTTATATTATCGAACTTTTTTTCCAGTTACATATCCTTCTTGTATATGAAATATCAAGCCTCTAGGCCTTCCAGAACTTGAGAAGAAGTTTTTCAAATATTGGTACCGTAAATAGCTCTTTCCGAATTTTTGCCCCACCGAAAACCGGAAGTTGAACTTTTAGGGAAGTTTTCCTTATGACAATCAATAGGAAGTGTCCACAGAAGGTTTATAATCAATTTTCATCTTTGTGTGCCTTCTAGAATGTGAGAAACTGTCGTTTAACGATTTTTAGTTAATTGACATCTGTGACCTTGAAAGTGGGTCAAGGTCATTTATATTATCAAACTTCGTTGCCAGTTACATATGCTTCATAAGTGTGAAATATAGAGCCTCTAGGCCTTTCAGAACTTGAGAAGAAGTTTTTCAAAGATTGGTTCCCTAAATAGCTCTTTCGAAGTTTGTGAACTACCGAAAACCGGAAGTTGAACTTTTAAGGAAATTTTTCTTATGACAATCAATAGGAAGTGTCTACAGAAGGTTTATAATCAATTTTCATCATTGTGTGTCTTCTAGAAAGTGAGAAACTGTCATTTAACGATTTTTAGTTAATTGACCCCTGTGACCTTGACAGTTGACCAAGGTCATTCATATAACGACCGTTTATAGCCTGTAGTCTGGACATATTAAATATGAAATATCAAGTCTCTAGACCTGATAGAATTTAAGGAGAAGTTCGTCAAAGTTAGTAACCCGAAATAGCACTTTTCAAATTTGACCCATACCAGAAACCGGAAGTTGACTTTTTTTTGCAATATTGTCTGATGTCTATTGTTAGGAATTGATAACATAATGATGTAAACAAAAAATTAAGTTTCAATACTAATTGGTTATAGAGAAAATGTCATTTTAAGATGTTAAGACATTTGACCCCTGTGACCTTGACAGTTGACCAAGGTCATTCATATAACGACCCTTTATAGACTGTTGACTGGACAAATTAAATATGAAATATCAAGTCTCTAGACCTGATAGAATTTGAGGAAAAGTTCGTCAAAGTTAGTAACCCGAAATTGCAGTTTTCAACTTTGACCCCTACCAAAAACCGGAAGTTCACCATTTATCTAAATTTTTTTCTGACGAAATATGTTTGCAGGGTTATGTTTATAAACTGCTTTAAGCTTAAGTCAATAGCTTGAGCCGTTATTGAGTTACAGCCATTTAGGTAAAATCGGATATGACGTCATGGCGGCCATTTTGTTTTTCTGATGATTTTGTAAATGACACTAAATGGTAGAGAACATCTGGGGAAACCTTTCTGATATAAATTATTCCAAAAAAGCCCGTTGGTAAAGATCTAGATCGAGTTTTTCCAAATTGTCGGCATTTTTAAAAGATCAAAGGAAATTTTCAAAATGGCATACAACGGAAGTGGTAAACGTTACAGAAAAATTAAAATCACTTAATTCATCGGAAGGACATTCTGCATCGATGTGTTAAAGAGATTTTCAAGAAAAATCAAAATTGAAAAAAAAAAAATTTGTTTTCAAATTTTCAAATATTGACCCCACAGCGAGCTTTTTTATTAGACATATTTTGTATTATAATGGCATAATGAAAAGTTAGATAAGAAAATTGTCTACAAATAACATAATGGACGAACTCTGTACACTCAACGGTTTTCGAGTTACGGCCGTTTTAAAGTTTTTAACTTAAGACGTCATAGCGGCCATATTGGATTTTTGACCTACTTAAAAAATCTGCATCGTCACCTTCCAGTATGTACCTATAACATGGTCAATACATATTAGGTGTGGTCTTTACCGTTTAAAAGATTACGAACCCACAAAGTTTGGAAGAAAAATAATAATAATAATAACTAGAAATTGTTGTGAACAATTTGGCGGGCTTTTCACTTCTTTGGCTACAAGTTGACCGGAAGTTGACATTTATCCTGATAACGATATATGAGAAAGATTCCTTGTTTGTTAGTCTCTACAATATATCCAAAGATGAACTTTGAATGTTGAAACGTTAAGGAGATAAAACTACATAATAATGAAGAAATACACTTTTTAAAGGTTCAAACATATTTGACCCCTGTGACCTTGAATGTCGGTCGAGGTTATTCATATTTGCAAGCCTTATAATGTAACATCTGATAATCAATATATCCCCAATATTAGTTCTCTAGCCCTTGTGAGACTTGACAAGAAGATTGTTGAACACTGGTACGCTATTTTGTATATTTGAACTTTGACCCCTTTGGGAAACTGGAAGTTGACATTTTGAGGGAAGTTTTCCTTATGACAATCACTAAGAAGTCTCCACAGAAGGTTTATAATCAATTTTCATCATTGTATGCCCTCTAGAAATTGAGAAACTTTCATTTAACGATTTTTAGTTAATTGACATCTGTGACCTTGAAAGTGGGTCAAGGTCATTTATGTTATCAAACTTCGTTGCCAGTTACTTATGCTTCATATGTGTGAAATATCAAGTCTCTAGGCCTTTCAGAACTTGAGAAGAAGTTTTTCAAAGATTGGTACCCTTAATAGCAATTTTCAACTTTGACCCCCTACCGCAAACCGGAAGTTGAATTTTGAGGTACGTTTCTCTTATATCACTCGACAGGAAATGTACACAGAATATTTATGTCCAAAGTTGAAGACTTTGGGCAGCTTAACAATGGAGAAATTACCATTTAACGATTTTTACATAATTGACCCATGTGACCTTAAAAGTGAGTCAAGGTCATTTATATTAACAAACTTGATAGATAATTAATTAGACATCTTACACATGAAGTATCAAGACTCAAGGCTTTGCAGAACTTGAGAAGAAGTTTGTCAAAGTTTGTAATTTAAAATAACACTTTTTGAACTTTGACCCCTACCGAAGACCGGAAGTTGACCTTTGATCCCAGTTTTTTTCTTGTGAAAAGTGTTTTCTTATTAATTTACATAATATGATTGAAACTGAGGTCACTAGCTGAAACAGTTCTTGAGTTACGGCATTTTAGGTAAAATCGGATATGACGTCATGGCGGCCATTTTGTTTTTCCGATGAATTTGAATATGTCATTAAATGGTAGAAGACATCTGGGGAAATTTTCTCAGTAACAATTTGATAAAATATAGCGCATCAATATTGTTCTAGAACGAGTTTTTCCTATTTGTCGGCATTTTTAAAAGATCAAAGGACATTTTCAAAATGGCGTACAACGGAAATGGTAAATGTTTCAAAAGAACTGAAAACCCTAAATTCATCGGAAGGACGTTCTGCATCGATCTGAAGAAAAAAATTTCAAGAAAGTTCAAAATTGAAAAAAAAAAATAAAAATTTGTTAAATTTTGAAAATTTTACCCAAAAGCGAGCATTTTTTATTTGACATATTTTCTGATGACATGTCTGACAAAAATTTAGATAAGGAAATTCTCTACAAATAATATGATGCACAAACTCTGTATAATCAAAGGTTTTCGAGATATTGCCGTTTTTAAGTTTTTAACTTATGACGTCATGGCGGCCATATTGAATTTTTGACCTACTTAAAAAATCGGCATCGACAAGTTCATATACGTATCTACAAATATTTGAATAGAATGTATATCTAGCCCTTACAATAAAACAGATTACAAACCCACAAAATTGGAAGAAGAATAATAATAATTAAGAAGAAAAGAAGGTCTTTTCACAAGTTAGTGAAAAGCCCTAATAATAAGAAACATAACAAAAATAATAGGTCTTTTCACCAAATGGTGAAAAAGCCCTAAGAAGACCATGTGTTGTTTCCAATTCTCAAACAAAACGGTTTACAACAGCTAAACCTGCCTACCATCAAGTATCGAACCCATCCATCTAATTTAGTATCACACATCGAAATATATGTACAATATCTCCCGATGTGATTATGGTGGTAACTACGATACTTCCTTATAGTCCTCCTCAACTCGCAGCTGTTGTGAGTTTATCTGTCGACATCTTTCACGGAACTCGTGATATGGGAACACACCAGTTCATATCTCGAAGAAACATGTAAACATTGGGGGTTGGGGAAGAAGAAAAGGTGTACAGATTTCAAAAATTGTGCAATAACATTACACTTATGCTTCATGAAGTGAAACGCCAACAGTGCAAGAAATGTTCAGTGGAAATATCGCCAACTAAGATATAACAGCTGCATGTAAATGGTTTTAATATCGGGATTTCAAAGGAAAATGATAGATTTCCTTCAGATCTCAATAACTACTTTTAGAATATCATAAACGTACTGAACAAGTAAAAGATGGATAAAAATTTTTATCCTCCCTCGGAATGATTGAATACAAATTTTCTACACATGTATGTATTTGTTTTATTTTTTGCTTACATTGTGTGAAAGCAGTATTGTGTAGGATTGTTTGGCTTTTTGATAATCACACTGTCTTAATTATCCTAGCAATTGTATTGACAATGATGGATGCAGTTTCAATTTCTATTGTTTATGCATAAAATAAAAATATCGGTAATAAATGATCTGAAAAATGCATGTAAAATTAAAATCGTAACCAGGACAGAATATGAATAGTGAAAGTGACTGATGTCAATCTTACACATCTGGTTCATGTCGACGAAACCAGGACAGAATATGAATAGTGAAAGTGACTGATGTCAATCTTACACATCTGGTTCATGTCGACGAAACCAGGACAGAATATGAATAGTGAAAGTGACTGATGTCAATCTTACACATCTGGTTCCTGTCGACGAAACCAGGACAGAATATGAATAGTGAAAGTGACTGATGTCAATCTTACACATCTGGTTCCTGTCGACGAAACCAGGACAGAATATGAATAGTGAAAGTGACTGATGTCAATCTTACACATCTGGTTCCTGTCGACGAAACCAGGACAGAATATGAATAGTGAAAGTGACTGATGTCAATCTTACACATCTGGTTCCTGTCGACGTCACGTACTTAAAGTCTACTGATGTAGTAATTATGGCGTCCTCGTCAGTCTTTGTGAAAGACACCAAAATATTAGCTAAATACACGAAATATAAGTATTGGAGCACTGTAAGAACACTGCTGTATATACTTTATTGATAAAATTTTTGCCCACGGATTACAATAGCATTAGAAAATATCAAATCATCGATTACATCATATATCAAAACTTTATAAGATACATGATCTATTTTTTTGGGATTTCACCTAATAGAAAAAAGTATTACCTATTCACTGTAGTTCACCAATGTCGAATGAAAGCAAGTTTGAATAGGTGGAGGTTTAGTTAATTTTCACTGTAAACACCACGGGTTTTATTATATCTTATAACATTTTGACAACATTCCGTAGCAGAAAACGACATAAAAGACGGATACTTATTGGTAAGATCAAATAAGACGGATTCTGCGTAGTGACAAATTCAATCGGGTATGATAGGCAGGGCAAAGATGAATCTGTCTTTTCTATAGGCAGGTAAAAGACTCTCGTGCTGAGTTGAGCCAAACTCGAGTTGAGATACCGCTGTCTGCTGAACAGTCCCATTTAAGTAACCGTGCAACTATCTATATAAAGCGACTGATACAACACGAGTTCTACTTATTATTGTACACAAAATCAGTAACTAATTTGGGTTCTGTGCGTTAAAAAAATTGAATCATTATTTGGCACTACCTTATCCTTTGTGTCATTTATGAGATCTTCGAGATGGCAGGCGGTAGACACTGACGAAGGACTTTTTAGTACCAGATGTTTACGGTGACCTGCATGCCAAATTTTTCAATTATTCAAAATTAAAGTAATTGTATAGTTTAGAATACACTCATGTACTTGTTGTTCTTCTGAAACTATCATATATACGGAAAATACGTTATTTATTGAATCAAAGGCCTAATGCAACACCCTCACCTAGATTTTGACGTTAATTTTTTTACTTCACTTTAGGCTATTTTCAGTCGCCTCTTGGGTTTCCAAAATAGGGTATCACTGACAAGTCCTAGAAGATCAACAATGTTGGATGATGCAGTTTAATTATTTATTTGGCATTACAGAACCTAATTCTAATTGTGTTAAAAGATGCACTCGCTTGTGTTTCCCGTGTAGTATTTCGATGCAAAGTATCTTTTCTACGGACTTGGATTACGATTCATACATTTTGTTTGCAGATCGATCACAAGAAAATTTCACTGTATGTACAGGAATTTCAATAAACTACGCTTGTTTCCAAACCTTCAACACAGACACCCAACAACTCTTTAACGTAATTGTTTTATATTCTTATAACACTGTAGTGGTATATATTTGTAATTAGTTCATTAAATTTGGAAATGATGTAAGTCATGTATAATCAAGTAGCCAATTTCAATGATTCTCTAATTTCGTGTAGAAACATTCAACCAAACTATCTCTTTGGCACTTGATTACTTGGATAAAGAGTACTCATGAAATCCGCTTAAGCATATACCTAATGTCCAATTGTTAACGTATAATTCAATCATGGATATATAATTTCCTGGGTCAGAATAACCAGGCAATCAAAAAGAAAACAACAATGGCGAATAATACTTATTTTACAGTATGCATGCCTAATGTATAAACGTATATCCGTATATTTTCCTTGGGATGTAATTTCATTGTATTTGAAAAAATGTACTTTTTTGCACTTGAATCCGTGGATATAATTTTCTCTCGAGATCCATTTGTACTATAATCAATATCAATCACAACTTTTACGCATTTATCGGTATCTAAATTCATCAATAAATTCGCAATTAAGTTTTATACCACGAACTCAACGAAAAATACCTCCTCCCACACACAAACACACACCATCCCAATAAAACGATACTTATCCACAATTGGTTTTGTAAAATTGTATCTATCATTTGTTTGTTAAGATCACAATCTAGATTATCGTATAAGGATCAACATTCTCTGGCGAAATCCGGGTAAATGACGAGGTTATATCTAACAAATAAATCAACATATCCTTATCTACTGAATAACACAGGAAGTGTTGTTCACAAAAAGTAACTTTTCACAAACCAGGTAACTGGTCTAGAAATCTTCTGAGATAGTATATACACGTGGAATTTTATTACTAGAGTGTGTTTTAATAGTTGTGTTATCCTCACTCTCCTTATCGCGGTGCATTGCGTTCGTGTTGAAATCCACGCTCCTACGTTTCTCCCTTTCTGATATCCGCCTGAGGGGTAGACAAATTAAGCCGCCAAGTACAAGAGTGATGCCGGCGAAGTAAAATGTCATGTTGTAATTTCCACTCGCGTCGGCTAAAGCTCCTGAAAAAGAAAAAAATACGGTATCTCTGGAGCTGAAGTTACAATCAGTGAGATTATACTAAATCGAAAATTGATCTCCGAATCAATTGAAGGGGAAAACCGTGCATAAGAGAAATATTTATATGAAGTTTATTGAACTAGGGTTAGGAAAGGCTTTTTAGAAAAATAAGTGTACAAGCTTCATCGAAGACACACATTATAATTATAGATCAAAGTAGTGTAACAGTTTCAAAAATGAGAACAAAGATTACTTCCAATGAAACAACAGGATATGATAGGATCTCAAAAACATGTAATGATTTCGCATAAGAACACAATGTATTTGAGGAAATACCCATAATCTTTAATCACCTTTCATCTTTCAAAGTTTTACCATCGGATGTAAATATGTATTAAAGAAGAAATATGATATCGTGAATATAGAAGCAACCGCGAAAGGTAAACACATTTGATTCGACAAGCAAGGGAGTTAATTCAGAAATGGAAATTTAAAGTACATATATTATTACAATGGAAACAATGAGGAGTGCTAAGAAGAAGAAAATCTGTGTTCTGTACCTGCTATAGGCGATCCAAGATATGTAGACAGTCCCATGCTCAGTCCTACTATTCCAAACGAATTGTTGAGTCTGTGTACCCCCAATAGTTCAGCCATCAGCAAACTTCTCAGACAGATGAAGACCGCTGTAATTTATCATTTCAGTAAAATATAAACAAACAATTTAATAAAAAAAACAACCCTAAACATATTTATAGCCAATCAAAAGCGACGTAACAAATAACAACGTCATTTTAAAAAATAGATGATCGCGATTATTTTACTAATATATTACTTATTCCAGATGATAGTATATTGGCTATTAAACATTTCGTTAAGATATTAAATTTCAGATTTACACATTTCAAACACAAAAAGATAGGTCTTTGTTTAGAAGACATGTTGTTACATAATTTGTGAAATGAATCTTACCGATAACTGCACCAAACACAAACGAGTAAATTGCAAGAATGTTGAAACCGTCGTAGAATGGCACAAAACACGTCGACACTCCACCAAGTAATAGAGCGGTACAGTTTATCATCAAGCTATTGGCCCATGATTTGTCTGTTATGTACCCAACCACGACACGAGTCATGGTGTTTGCTACACCCATGATCAAAATAAGATATGTTCCTTCTTTGGTTGACAGATGGACATCACTAGCCAAAGCAGGTAGGAAATTAGACGGCACGAAAAGTCCTAACACAGAATAATGCATTATTAAAAGATATTGTAATTAGTTTTAAACATCAATTTTCAGTTGGCATTCTTCACAAAATTATTGTTATGAGTTACGTTTTAGTTTGTTTTTGTTTCATATTTTACATTTTTTTGGAATTGTGGTGATAACTAGTATCTGGTAGTATTTTTCCGTTAGGAGCTTCAAATTGCATTTTGTCTTAAAAATACTTACCAAACATAACGAGAAAACAGGTTGTTCCATACAGCAACATGGTGGGACTTTTGAAAAGTGTGAAGTCGAACATATTTGTGTTGTTTAAACTTAAATGTTTACAACATATTTCTGAATTCTCAGATTTTTCATCATTTTTGATACATGTGCTTTTAGTTTTAACAGCAGTTCTCAATGGTCGATAAGTCGCGGAAACAACTAGTCCATGGAGAAGAATAGCCGAAATAATCCTCATGGTTCCTTGCCAGTCGTATAATTCCAAAAGAAATTCGCAGAGAGGCGCAAACACAAAGCCACCTACTCCAGCACCACAAACAGCAATACCAGTCGCCAATGCTCTACGTTTTTCGAAATATACTCCAAGTATCACAATAGAGGGTTGGTAGATCAGGCCGTATCCGATACCTGTAGAACATATCTTTATCAAATATAGAAAAATCATGTGTACATGACGTTTTGAACAAATTCATTTTCATTTATTATTCTGCTTAAACGTGTCATTGGCTAAATTTGATTATTTGAAAGAAATTCTTGTGTGTCATTTTCACGAACCTATACAACTTATGTATGTTAATTTCATCAACCTTTTTGTGGAAAAAGCACAGTGTATATCGCGTATGTTTGTGTGTGCTTACCTCTCACTTACAAGTATAAAAGAAGAAACATCTGGTTTATTGTTAAAAGTTTCTGATGCGTTTAACAAAACAATTTATATACCTCCTACAATACTGTATAAGAAGATCATCACGTTCAGGTTTGGTGCAAAAGATGACAGGAATATTCCGACGCTCATAATTAACGCTCCACTTCCGGCCACCAGCCGATTTCCAAACATGTTTACTAAGACACTTGCGACTGGTCCTGATTTAAACACAGTGCAATTATTACATCTGAATGCTTTTGTTCAGTGCATCATTACTATTCACAAATAAGATTATCGTGCTTAAACCAGAACGACACAACGACATTATATCGGGAAATGTGATGCAATTAATGTTAGAATAGCGGGTATAAGAAGCTGAATATCAAAAGCCTCGAAATTGCGATACAACTTCAAAAGTGAAACACATCTTTTTTGTTTTTGAGTTGCACTTTTAAAACTTATTTTTATTTTGAAACAGTCAATCATTCATTTTTAAGGGAAGCCTTATGATGCCTTCTTAACATAATTACGTTTACTCGTGAAGATATCAAATTCATTCAGAACAATATGACATGTCCTTGCCAAGATATTTCATAAAAGAAATGAATGTGTAATGCAATTTTAGGTTATCTACAAATATTAACTAAAATAGTAATACTATAAAAACGCTCACCAATAACGAAAAATGTACCCCACATTACTGAGTGTAGAAGCTGAGTCTTCCCTTTACTTTCTCCGAAATATCTCAGGAATTCCGGGAAAAAAATTCCGAATGTAAAACTCAATCTGTCAACAAACATACTGACGACGAATGAAGAAAATGTTACCAGCCATCCCCATCCACCGTCTGGGGCTTTGGGTGGTGTTTGGTATTCAAATATCACTTCATTAGTAGATCGCTTTCTCAAAGTACCTGATCAGAAAGAAAGAAAGAAAAAGGTTAAATTTCATTACTATACTAAATATAAATTAGAAGAAAATATAATGTACATATATTGTTTTAGTAAATTATCGGATTTTTTTAGCAATCTCGATACTGTAAAATCATTGATCTTCGTGGATTTTTATCCGTTTTTTCTGGATACGAATTCATATGTAAAAGAATGACAGTGATAACTGAAACACTTAATCATCACTATAGTGTCCCAGAACGACATCTGCTGGACGAATGATGGCCGTCCTTCTCTGGTCATACTTTCAATCTGACCTTAGTACAAACAAGTAAGGAAAGAAGATCCCTAATATATGCATATCACGAGTAGATCGCGTGACCATCCGGAACAACATTCCAAGGCACCTGTAGTTTAACCTCTACAATTGTCGGTATACCTTACCTGCCACTACTACCTGTATCTTATAATTTACCCAATTGAAGTAAATATGAACCATACATGTTTACAACATCGTTTTGGATACGTGTATTATTAGATTTAAAACATTCGTAAAAGTACGCTTGGAGTATGTTCCTAATGGTCGATAAATCACGGAAACAACTAGAACAGGAGGTAGAATAACTGAAATAGTCCTTAATCTAGTTGTATTATAATTATCATTTTCTTGACAGTGGCAAAATAAATGTTGTCGTAGTGCGTGGATTGATATACGATTTTTTCATGTTTTTTTTTTAATACGTTTAATAAATAGTTCGGAGATCCTTATTACTTGCACACGCCCCCCTTTAAGAGTTTTAGAGTAACGTAGTCGTAAGCTGTCTTGCCTATACCATACCATGTGAACTCATTAAAGGAGCATTTGTTGATAAAAATAGGACACATTAAATCTATCCGAGATACAAAATACAAAGGAACTTTCAAAATATTCTAACAACATGATTGATTGTTTGCGAGATTCAAAACAATTAAATAACAATTGTAATTATAAATGTATTAATAAATTTTGATTGAATTTGGATATACAGGACTTTAAAAGTTAAATCTCCTTCATGTATGACATTTTTTCTGACATTAAAATAAATTAAGCTTGACACTTGTTGACCGAACACTGTTTATCACCAGTGTATGTAGAATAACTTTTCGGTCACGATATGCCTGTGCAATCTAAAGTAGACGTGCGGCAAGGCGTCATATAACACAGAGTTAAAATCAAGCTGTCAATTGTGGATTTATTGAAAGTCTGTGGACTTAATGTCACATCAATCTCCTGAATAACCTTTCATTTTTCTTCCTTTTCTGAATATTTGCATGAGACATCGAATGAAAATCAATTCCAGATGATTGGAAACGCCTTCGAGAGACCTCGATAGGGTACACTACGGTGTACGACAGCACGTTCGGATAGTTATTTTAGCACTCTTAATAGGCCAATTCGGTTTGTAAGTTCCAATTCGTTGGATAACGACTTCCTTCAAGCAACTGGAAGAAAAAATTAAGCACAAACAGTGAGGAATATACTTCACAGTTCTACGGATTACGCGATCACAGAGCCGTTGTATGCTCTCTACTCACACGCCGTCTTAGTGTAGTTCGGAAACATTGAGCGGCCTATTTTTTAACGTGTGAGTCCAGGTTTTGCGTGAGCTTTCTTGTTCTGATAAGCATATTAGGTTACGGTAGGGTTTATAATGATGATGCATCTTTTTCTTCTTTTGTCTACCCAGGTGTAAAATTATTCAGGTTAATTTCCTAGGTCTGACACTTAAGCAACACTGGGTATCCACCTATGTTCACCCAGTTATGGCACGAAGGGGTGCTTTTCAAATAGCGTGTTAGCAATTTCGATACAGAATGAGAAGAAACTACCAAGTTGATTTATGATAGAAGTTCAATTAAAGAGACTTCCTGTTTATATACACCAGTCATTATCGCCTGGTGGATATTTAAACAGCAAAAGCTAAATAACAAAATCTATATGGGGAAAGTTCTTGAACGAGAACGGTGACCAAAACAAGAACTGTGCTATAACTGCGCCAAAAAGCGGGGCCATTTATATCAAAATATAGAGATTAGCGGACACCGTTTCTAGAGACGTCTAAACTCCAGGATATACTGGATTTATCTCACATTGACCAAAGTTAACATTCGGTTCATTACAATTAGATTCATGATCTTTTTCTACCATGGCCGTTCAATTTTCTTATTATGCGCACATATTGCATACATCATGCACACATCGTGCGATCCCTTATCTGTATATGATGAATTTCAATACTTTAAAACCTATAGCATGTACAGCTACAGTTAGAAACTGAAACTGCTACGCTATTTGTGTGTATTACACGTATTCCAGCAGTCCTTTTTTACGTAGTGAAAGCGACAGCCGTAGACAGAACTGGATACTCAGAGAATGTCTTTTTTTTGTCATGACACGCCTAGCAAGATGAGTATAGGAATACCGGTAGTAAAAAAAAATCAAAATCTGATGCTAATTGTTGAAATAGTATTTACTTTTGAAAAAGAAGCCTCCCTGCATCTGCCTTAAATGGTGCATAGGTGTTTGTAGCTGCTCTCTCGTGCATTCTAGACAAAAGACATTTACTCTTTCATTGCGTGTAGTGACTTTGAGTTGCCCTCCTCTCACCCCGATCTTCATTTACTATAGTTTGATTCACAATATGTCATCGGATACCTAAATTTAACTCCTCATCAGTTCATTATTTAAACCTGTTGATTTGTGCGCAGTTTGAAATTAATTGCTACGAAATAAATACAGAATCGAAATTAATAGTGTGGGGTTAAATTAGGAGACTTTGAGGAAATATCTACCGCTGGCTAATGAACGACGGGATAATGAAACAATCAATGTAGACATACATATGTCTGACATTACTGTTTAGAATCTTAGGTGTGGTGCTATAATTTCTGTATATATTTCTATAATATAAATGTTCCGTTTTACTACAATTTTTGTTGCTAACAATAACTAACGTGTATACATTTTTATCTATATGATAATTCAACGACAGCTGTAGGTTGCCGCCATATTTTCAGCCGCGTAGTAACTTGTTACAGGTTAAACTCGCTCTAAACCTTTTTTGAGTAAGTTGTGTGTAGTAGTGATATGAATAAGTAACATTTTCTATGCGAGTATAGAAATGAATTAACATTGAAATACATTTTGTAAACCTTGAAATGTCTTCCCAATTATCAAACGATATCATAGATTATTATAATCTAGAATAATTTGTTTTCCTTTTTCACTCTTGGCTACAGTCATCCCCCAGAGCATTGGAAAGAAACATTGTTGGGATTTCCTTGTATCTGACCCCCAGGGAGTCCCCGACTCAGCCTTGACGGCGTCGTCTTAATCGTTTAATAATTGTAATATACTCAAGGGATAAAGAAACGCAGGGTGATATTATTTGCAATATCATGCAGACGCGTGGTTCAAAAACAATGAAAATCGTTCAAGCAACTCTCTAGGATACAGAGCACGTGATCCTGTCTCGAATGTTGCATTATTGTTTTGCGTTCAGGGAAAATCTCGTGCACAAAATGTTACATTGCTCGTCATACCAAGGTAGTCTTCATTTAGACACAATTTCCGTTATGTTGATTCATTTCTATTAGCATTTTAGCAATGGCACGACTGACGGACGGATGCGGACACCCAAACTTAGGTCTGTCAGCAACCTGCCATTGCAATGATTATGCAGGTTGCTGACAGACCTAAGTTTGGGTGTCCGCGTGATGTCGCAACGTCAGGACAGGTTTTTTAGTCTCGGGCATTGGCGCAATCGGCACCTTACATCCACTGAATCTGCCCTTCATACCACAGGTACTTATCACCGTCCTATCCATGCAAAAACCTGTAAGGAAACGATTGCGGAAAGTTGGTCTGCTAGAACGTCAACTGTTTGTAGGTTTGCCCGTCGGGTGTTTTTTACTGATGAGTCCTGGTTCACCCTATTTCGAGCAGACGTTCGACGTCGTGGAGAACGTTTTGTCGATTGGTATGGTAGCGGATAATTTAACTGCCGCTAGGTTCAGAGATGAGATTCTCAGACCCAATGTTGTCCCATTATTGCAGCAAACAACCTCACATTCCTGCAAGATAATGCTCGGCCCCCCGAGGATCTGTCGCAACTTTCTTACTAACAACAGTATCCACCCACTGGACTTGCTGCCATAAAACTCCGACCCATCCCCTATTGAGCACTTGTGGGACCACCTGGATAGACAGGTTAGACGACGTCAGCCTCACTCCGTTACTCTTGCACAACTGGGAGCAGGACTCTTGAAGAATGGACCAAGATCGCAGTGAAGAGGATAAACTCATTCATGCCTAGGAGAATCAGAGCTGTGGAGAGAACGAATGGGGGACATACCTGGTATTGACTAGCCAGCTCCCACAATCAGTCCATTTCGATTTCAGATTACAGCGTTCATTTTTTAATTCTCTTCAATTACTCAAAAATCATTTACTAGATACAAATTGTTGATTTTTCAGTTTGTTCTGTATGGATTGATATTCATTCTTACTTCAAAATATTGAACAGTATACTCGACGTCTTGCCAAGAATTATGTTCAAAGTTTACCCTGAGTTTCTTTATTCCTTGAGTATAGATGCCTATATTGAAATGTTTATAATTTGGGACTTACAACATATGATCCAGTGGTAGATGTGAACATTTTATAAAAGTTAACATATATAAAGCTTTGTGCCAAGAAAAGTTTTTTTGGTGCATGATTTATGTTTTCCTCAGTTTAATCAAAAAAATATTGGGAAAGAGAGAGAGAAGAAAAAAATTATCCATGTATCAAAATGTCCCAGCTGAGATTCGAACATTTAAGCCATAACAGACCATCTATTCGAGGCTGTTTACTATTCGTCACTTCTATCTGTTATACCAGTACCAGGTATACCTTAATTTAGCGATTACCTTATTATTACTGTTATTTTCCCAAAAATGTGTTTTCGTATTCTAAGGAAATTATGTTGAAGGTAGGAAATAAGAAATTACGCTTTTATGAATTAAATTGACAGAGAGAGAAAAGAGCAGTAAACAATCGAAATAGATTATTTGATCAGAGAGCTTATTTTTTGAAAGATGATAGTTTGTTTAGAAACTCTAAAACCGATTTGGCAATGGAAGAAACGAAACGACTTGCATTGGATTCCAAATAATGTATGTTTGGCAAGTAACTTTGTTACAATCTCCCGTAGGGTCATAATATCTAATTTAGTCGCCGAGTACTCAGGTTTTTGTTTAGGCGGTACAATCATTAAGATTAACTAATCTAATAATTTTCCCAATGTAGGTTTTTTCCCATTTTGCACATTGATGAACAGGAGGTGAATCTCTCTTGATATTTTCTTCTGGTAATTCAATATTATTTTTAAACGTTTATATTTCAAAGCCAGTTTGAACATTGTGATAACAACACTTCGTGTTTTTAGAAAATGGCCGCTCAGTGAAATGCATATGCGCTGTAGTAACAAGAAACAACTTCTTTCAAGACCGACTTGATTAAATCTTATGAAGGTATAGAAGATGATCCATTCGACCACTTTTTACTACGATTATATCACCATCTTGTCGCAGTATTTTTTCACTGTAGTGAATATAGGAATATGATAAAGCCGGAAAAAAATGTATGTGCCATTGCCTTTTATTTCGTGAAGGTAACAGTGTAGGCGGCATCTAAACACACAAAATTTCTATCTAGTAATGATGTATAAATATTTGTATTTTCTCCTCTTTTTCAGAGCTCTGATAAGTTAAAAATTTATAAGTACTTCCATAAATCTAATTAAATAATGTACAATTCCACTTAGTTTTTTGTAGGTCAGATTTGGTGATCTCAAGAAGATCATTCGGCTAAGACTGAAAGAACGTGCCATAAGGTGGCATTACACGTGCCATCAGGTGATATTACACAGGTAATACAATCAGTGTGACACAAAAGATATGGTTAATTGACATACATAGCTCTATTTAGAAATATCTCCTGTCCATTTTCTGTATATGATTTCATTGACACATTGCACGTAACATATTGCAGTAATTGTTTGTTTCATATACATTTATATCGAGCATCATTTGACAAAGATCGTTGAAAAACATTTTTTAAAAAAAGGCTTGAATGTCACATACTTAACCAGTATCAGATATCTACTTTTTCATTGCCTGGTATTCCAATGTGCCAGGAACCCAGCAAAAAGCAATACGAAAGTTAAAGGCAAGTTCATGATATAGTATTAATGTATTACGAATGAAGATATTTTCGATATTTCTATTGCTAAGACTTTGTAAAACAGAAAGAGAGTTTGAATGGGTAACAGCTTTCATAACTTTGTTTGTTTGAATAAATTCAAGGGCGCGGTAGCCGGCATCCACAGGTCTTATCTTGTGTAACCATGGCCGGGGCAACCTTATCTTTATCTTTTGAACCATCAGTATATATATGTAGAAGTTTTTTTTATATCATAGCAGCAATTTCGAGAGGAATAAGTGGAAGGTGCAACTGTCAGTGTCTGATTTAACCATTGCATGAAATGAAAAGTCAACTTCAGGTGATTTCAAGAGCCAGGGTGGAATTTCTATCGTTCCAAATGACTGAATTTCATCAATATCAATATTTGTGTTTTGAGCGGAAATTCGAATGATGAAATGGTTTTTGGTTTTGTTTTGAAACAAGGTTTTGTATTTAGGATGATATACAAGTTAAAAAGCAGGGTTTGAAGGATTTGACTTTAGCTGAATGAAGTATTGCAAAGCCAATTTATTTCGACGGCTATATAGTAACGGTTCGTTAGCCTCTTCATAGAGGCTTGCTGTAGGTGTGGTCTTAAAAGCTCCGATAGCGAGCCTGAGACCTTGGTGATGAACAGTGATGAGGAAGATAAAGGTTGGTCAGAAGGAATGTAAAACATTAGGTATGGAGTAATACTAATAATTCAATTCATGTCACACTACAGGACATGACGCGAGAATTCATTTTAAACAAAATGCAGAAAAAGTCTAGGCATTCCAGCAACATATTTATACGTAGAATCTGTGTATAATTTTCACTGCAAAAATTTCTATCGTAGTCTAACACAAGAGAAATGGCACAATTGAGATGTGTTTAATTGTTCATTGCTAAATCACAACGGCTGTTTCAACTCCTTTGTTTTGAAACCAGTTTTTAATATAATATTGTTTTTCTTTCTATTTTTATTTTATGATATAAAAAAATGTTATTCCATTTAATGTAACAACAAAACCACTGATAACGCGTAGAATATTTCCATAAGGTCCATCGGATCATGATGGAGTATACATTACAACAAGAGGACAGATAAGTAACTGCCGCATTCCATATGAGCAAAAGCGATGAAATACGTAGTGAAAAAGGAAAACATAGGAACAAAATGGTAAAAAAAGGGATAGAGAATTGTCTATTGGAATGCTAAAAGCATGTGGCATCTATTTTTCTGTATTTGTCTTAAGAGTTCCTGCTTGAAGTATCTCATTATTCGTTGTTGATTGTTAACGTGCTTTGTTGTGCTTGACACCGGAAGACGACGACCTCCCCTTGCGATTTGGATCCATCAATGTGACAGTGAGGTGATAAAAAAAGACAAGTTAAAAAGATCTTCGGGAGTGTAGTCGGCGTTGTAACCGTGACGTCATGTGACGTTCGTTCCGTTCTCCTACAGCGACACGTACAGGCAGTGTAAGGCTCACAACGTCAATTTAGTTTTTCTTTGATATGAGTGAGTATATTCTAATTTCCTTGTGTATAACGACGAGAATCTAATACATAAATGCAAGATGTCCATAATGTTTAATCAGCAAAATACTCATTGAGTAGCAATGATATAAAAAAATTCATATCTTGAATAATCATTCATGAAGAAAATTTCGCCAAAGTAATTTTAGGACAGGTGTGAGCAAAGTTGTCACACTTATCATAGCTACTTCCATTCATTATACACATGGTACGTTTTATGGTTATCAATAAGATTATTAAACACCGTGTATCATTTCGCACACATGCTTTCACGGATTAAGAGTACCTGTCAGTACAGTACTGTACAGTATCGTAAGTATTATAAGGACTTTTGATTCAGGACTTTGAACTGCTTATATATATATATATTGTATCTCCATAAACATATGAGAAACGTACTCTTCAGTACTTAAATCGCATAAAACATGGATAAAGATATTGGTTTATATAAAGAACAGACTTTTAGACAGATGGATTGGTTTTAAATTATTAGATAAATCTGTTCAACGATATTAACGTATGCGTCGTCAGCTTCAAGAACAAGTACAAATGAAAATTCCAAAACGTATATTTATCCCAATCCTTTCTTACAACGAAGTCAAATTTGACAGCTTTTCTCCAAACTTAAGTGTAATGATTTCAATTTCTCTCTTGTGATTTTTTCGTTTCTGGATAGCACCATTCCTGCGACCTTAACCTATAGTGTTTACATGTAGTAGTTGATTCGGTATTCAATGACCCGTTCACAGTCTCATGATTTTCGTGTTCGAAGTCATCCACTAACGGATAAATGCGTAACACAAGGTTTCAGAAGATGCAAGTTGCTGAAAATGATAGGGAAGTTTTCCGGTCGTCATAACCTTCTCATTGAGAAATATTCAATTTCGTTTTGCGATATGAAACTGCGCGTGTTTGCCTGTTGGTTCCGTTGCTGAGAACGTGGCATATCTTATATGGATTAACTAAGATTTACATGGCGGGTGTCGTCAATTAAGCACAAGACACTTGCTCTTCCTAAATATCTGGTCTTATTCTCTTTTTTTTTTTTTATGAGTTTATGGGTAAATCTTTCTTTTGTTTATATTTTACCTTGGTTTAATTGAAATTGAGTTTGGATCGGTATTATGATGATATGTATGTATTTTCTTGTTGTTTTTCAATATATATTGTAGTAGCAATAAGATAAAACAAACATAATGTGTCTGTGAATGTTCCAGCTAACGTAGACCTGTTTATGACCGTTGACATGGAAACAAGACTGATTTACAAGGTCATTACCAGGACGTACAACGAGATATATGGTTATGTTTGTGAAATGGATGCGTCGTCTTAATTGTTTTGCTTCTATTGAATAATACATATTTGACGATTTATTTTCATATTCATTTCGGATTAAATTGTACACATAATGTGTCTGATGTGGTTCCCATGGTAACATAGAAAAAGCCTTTTCGGATGTTTAGGTATGTATTATGTATGTATCTTTTCCCTTAAGATACAGTTATCTCGATACTGCAAAATTATTAATAAAAATAGATAATGAAACGTTATACGTTTAT